TTTCCAGGGATATACACATTGATAACAAGGTTGACACATGCATTGCCAGAGCTAGCTCAGTGTTTCAGAAGCTCCAAAGGAAAGTGTAGGAGAAAGAGTTATTAGATTGACTACTAAACTGAAGGTCTAGAGTCATTGTGCTGACTTCATTATTGTATGCCTGTGAAACCTGGATGGTATACCAGCACCATGGCAGGAAACTGAATTGCTTCCATTTGAATCATCTTGGGACGATTCTGAAGATCACCTGGAATATAAGGTACCAGACACTGAGGTCCTTTCTCAAACTAAACTGCCAAGCATTCAAACTCTACTGCAGAGAGCACAACTCCAATGGGCTGGCCATTTTCAAATGCTAAATGACACCTGCCAAAAAGACTATTTTACTGAGACTCACATGGTGGCAAAAAGAAGCAATACAAGCAATACAAGAACACTCTCAAGGTCTCTCTTAAGAATTTTGGAATTTATTGTGTGGCATGGGAGACACTATCACAGGACCTCCTAGCATGGTGTGCCCTCATCAGTGAAAGTGCTGTGCTCTATGGGCAATGCAGAATTGAAGCAGCTCAAAAGAAATACGAGATGCACAAATTTAGAGGATCCACCCCAAATGTTCACATGGACTATTTATGCCCAACCTGTGATAAAACCTTCCAAGCTCATATTGTCTGATCAGCCAGTCAAATACACTGTAACTTGACTCTAACATAGTGGTGTCATTTGGGTCCTCTTTGAGAACAAAGGACAACCAACCAACCATGAATCTTGGCAATAGGAGGCACTTTTCTACTGCTAAAACGTCTATCTCTGGACCACTATGAATCCTTTCAACTTTCATAACATCTTTGATAAGATACCAAGTAATCTTTCCTATGTCTGGTTATTGTTCAAACTCTTCATGACTCCATTTGGGGTTTTCTTGGCAAAGATACAGGGATGGTTTGCCATTTCCTTCTCCAGCTCATTTTACAGCTGAGGAACTGAGGCAAACAGGATTAAGTGACTTGCCCAGGGTCCCACCGCTAGTAAGTGTATAAAGACAAATTTGAACTCACAAAGATGAGGCATCCTGATTTCAAGCCCAGCAATCTATCCACTGCTCCACCTCTCTGCCACCTCTGATTGGCTGCCAAATTATAAAGCCACCTCTGATCCTAATATCCAAGGCAACAAGCTTGGCAAGAAGGGTGAATACAGTGGCAAACTCATTGGCAAACTCAATGTGCCAGGTTCTGATCCTCAAAACTCAGCTACTCTGGGAACTGCCCATGCTGCCTTCTAAGCAGGTTTGCAGCTCAAATAAGGAACATTATGTGCAAAGACGATGTCCCACCTGCAAATGAGTTTCAGTCAAGCAACCTAATAAAAAGGGTAGGAACTAGACCTGCCATTTCACTGATGCAGTAGGTCTGAGGATGACTTTTATCAAGACAGGTTCAAACCATGTCTGCAAGTTAGAGCTGCCTAAAGCAGACGCATCAAACATGCCACAAGGGGAACATTACCAAATAAGGATTTGACCAGAACTAGATTAAAATGTGTCTGGAGGGCAGCTAGGTGGTGCAGTGGATAGAACACCGGCCCTGGAGTCAGGAGGAGCTGAGTTCAAATCCGACCTCAGACACTTGACACTTACTAGCTGTGTGACCCTGGGCAAGTCACTTAACCCCAATTGCCTAAAAAGAAAAAAAAAAGGAAATTCCCTGAAGACAAGGAAGGCTTCCCTTTTTTTGTCTTTGTATCCCCAGCACCTAGAACTGAGCCTGGCACTGATTAGACAAGTAACAAATGTTTATTCAATTCAAATCAATTTGAAAGTAGGTTTCTGACAAAGAATAAAAGCCAAGTGATCAGTCTGAGAAGTCTAGAATGCTGTTTGCTCACCAGTTTTTGCTAAAGGTTGAACTGGCTCCCTTTGGTAGCAGCCTATATTTTATTAGATCCAAAACCTCCAATTTCTGCTCTTGCTCTATTGCCTTGACTGTCTTAGAACTGTAGCTACAGTCTTAGTTGGTCTCAAAGTAATTGTCACAAAGGTAAACAGACCTGTTTGGCTGGGAATTAATATAATTTAATATAATTTATAATTTATTTTATATAATTTATTATAATATAATTTATTTAAATAAAGGCAAACAAATGTTCTCACTTTCCCTTCTCCCCACCCCCAAAAAAGGAAGCTTAATATCAACAATTTTAAACTTTGACCCTAACCATTAACCAAAAAATTTTGGTTCCAGGTATCCATGTAAAATGAACTGGCAAGAATTTATTAAAGTGTTCATGTATGTACCTTGATATTCTCTAATTCATATGCATGAGACTGGAAATCTTTTTCTCTTATGGTCATAGAACCTGAAATCTAATTCCCAAAGATCATCTTTATCTCATGTTCAATTTGGAAATTGCTGAGCATTAAGCAATTAAAACTTGCCTATAAAGTGGAAGTTATTTTCATTTTTGTTATTTGTATTTTTATTTTCATTACTGTCATTTATCAAAAGTCACACTAGAAGAGAACAAGTCTATACCCAGGGCTCATAGGCCAATGAAGCAGTGAGTTCTGCCTAAGCAAATAAAGAAATCACTCTAAAGCACTGGTCCAGCTCAATTAAAATTGAACTACATGGAGATAAGAGTATGGGGAAAAGGGGGTGGGGTAGAGAGAAGCCATTTGAGGCAAGTGGTCTTAAGAGAGGTAGTTTGACTCAGGTATAGTTGTCAGGGAAGAATGGGCGGCATTTTCCTTTCTTCTCCTCTCCCAGTCTCTGCCATCAGCAACTCCTTCACCTCTTCTTTGGCACAACCCATCAGAGTGCATGGGATGATGGGAAACTGAAGTAAAGCATGGGGATGGTGGGCTCTGAACTCTAGCTGTAAGGAAGCATATCACACCACCCCTCACCAGATTTTGGCACCTCAAACAAAGCCCTAACAACATAAAAGAAAAACTGGAATTTAAGAATATCTCAAAGGAACAAGCAAATTTTTGTGTCAACTGATGAGCCTAGTCCTTGTAGGGTTTAATAAAATGTAAACTCTTTGAGATCAAGGACTGTTTATTTTTGCCTTTGTATCATCAGTCCCTAGTGCAGTGCCTGCTACATAGTAGGACTTAAAAAAGACTTGCTCATTGATTGATTGCTGCTCTCTGGTTACAGCTGAGGATACATGTGACAGCCAATCCTACCTCCCAGATTTTGTCCTGATCCTGGGCCTCACTGAGGCACACCACCAACCTAAGAATCGATTAGCTTTGCCCAGGACTTCTGACATCTTGTGATCCATTAAGTGATCCATTATCTTCAGAGTTTGTGTCTATTTGTCCCTAGGAATATACAAATTACTCAGCCCCACACATATATGAATATTCCAATGACTAAGAAACATACAACTAATTGGTTTATTTCCTTTGTCATCTTGTGGATGCACCTGATGAATGTATGCATCATCTGGACTTTTTCTGTCAATAACTCCCCACCCCTCACCAAGGAGTTGAGGAGAAAGCCAAACCTGGGCAGTTGGCACTATTCTATTCCTTAACTGATGACATACATAACTGGAGAGACTAAAGATGGATACATTTTTTCTTAAACAAACTTCTTGCCCCACAAACAACCGAGGCATAATTATGGGAAATACCTAACAAAGTCCTCTATTTCATTAAAAATGCATTTTTCCCTTGAAGCATTATACTCAGTTTTGCCAGGTAAGTTACTCTTGGCTGTAAGCCCATATCCTTTGCCCTCTAGAATATCACATTCCAAGTTCTTTGTTCTTATATAATGATAACTGCTAAGTCATGTGTGATTCTGACTATGGTTCCTTGGTACTTGAATTCTTTCTTTCTGGCTGTATGCATATTTTTTTCTTTGACTAGAAAGCACTGGATTTGGGCTATAATGTTCCTGAGTGTTTTCATTTTGGGGTTTCTTCCAGGAGAGGATTGGTGGGCTCTTTCTATTTTCATTTGGCCCTCTGGTTCTAACTGATCTAGGCAATTTTTCCTTTAAAAAGATTTCTTAAATTATCATGTGTAAACTCTTGTTTTGGTCACAGTAGTAAGGCATTTTAATAATTCTGAAATTCTTTCTCTTCAATCTGTTTTCCAGGTCAGGTCTTCTTGCCAAGATATATCTTATACTTTCTTCAATGTTTTCAGTCTTTGATTTTGTTTTAATATTTCTTGCTGTCTCATGAAGGAGTTGACTTCTGTTCAGTCAATTCTAATTTTCATGGAGTTTTTGCTTGAGCAAGGTTTAATAACGTGTGTGCCAAGCTACAAATTTCCTTTCTAATCCTTTCTTCTATAGCTCTCATTGCTTTTCTAGGTATAAACCCATGCTGGGGCAGAAGGAATGGAGAAGATGAGAAAAATGAGAGAGATTTTGCACAGGTAGATTCAACAGGACTTATTAACTAATTGGATATGAAGTAGAAAAGAGTACAATACTTTCATTCTAAAGGTAAAAAAACTAAACCTCCCCCCCCCACCCAGAAGTATTGCTCAAGTTATAAAGAAAGCAAAGTAGCAGAGCCAGGATTCAAATTCAGCTTCCCTGACACCAAATCTAGTGCTCATTCCATTTATGGTTAAACCCAATCCCAAATCCTCAGCCAGAGAGAGAGGCTGTCTCTGGCCAAAGGTGGAACAGAAGATGACTCTAAATGACACAGTGACTGGAGTTGTGGAAAAGTGCCATTCCTCACATCTCAAGAATAGGGGTTGGTGACTTAACAAATCAGTTCTGAAGTGTTGAAAAGCCCAGGAATGGGCTGAGAGTTTCCTCATTAACAGCCTGAGCTATTTCTTCCAAACACATCAAAACAGCTGAAATCACACAGAAATTGAATGACTTTTACAAAAAAAATCCATTGATAATACTTCCAATTATTGACTGAGAGCATGTTTTCAGCAGAATAAAAATGATTACAAGTCACAAAAACTGTCATTTCTCACAACTGAAATTTGTTCCTGGGTGAATCCATGATGAGTAGGCGAGGCTTTTTCCAATTTCTTTTTATTGTCAGTGTTGTTGCTATTTGATATCTTCAAAAATGTTTTCAGAAAGATGTGTTCTGCTAAAAGGAGAGAGAACAATGCATGACATAATTCATAAATGTGAGAGTTATAATTTGAATGAATCCCAATGAAATGGTCTAATTTTTAAATGAAGTCCTTATCAATGGTTTTCTGGAATCATTCCATGATGGCATTCAGCCATACCCACTGCCTCTGAGATTCACCAAATTCAATTGACTGAATTCAAGGAACATTTCTTAAATCTTACAAACAAGGCAATATGCTAGGCACTGGGGATACAAAGATGAAAAAAATCACAGTCTCTACCCTCTGGAGACTTACAATCTAATACTATATATAAGAAACAAGCATGATATGAAAGGGTCAAAGAAGAAACAAAGAAAAAGAACTCTAGGAAAATGTGAGGCAGGAGAGATTGCCCAAATGATTGTTGTGACCTGTTGGGTTCACTTTATATAGATTATGAAATGTTAGAGTAGGCACAGGTTTTGGCAAATCACTTTAAAGTCTGATCTAATTATTCCCCACTGTTAAAAATGAGATGACTATGAATGTTTAGAGATTGGGTAAGATTTAAGATGGTCCCTCACTTGTAGAAAAATAATTAAGGTTAAAATAGATATCCTTCATTTGGCAGGATGGTCCTGGATCTTGGCTTACCATCCCCCATTAAACATCCTCCTGAATCTCCCTCATTAACACATTTTCATTCTTTCCAGGCCCAATTTCCACATTGAAATGAGGATATCAGTAATATAAGTTTTTTCAAGGTTATTGTGAGAAAAGACCCTTGTAAACCTTAAAGCATTACATAAATATAAATTGCTATCCTCTCTCTTCTTTTTTAAAAAATTATTTTCACTTTCCCCTTTCTTTTCTACCTTAGCTGTAAAAGAAATAATAGCATCCACCTTGGAGGGGTATTATGAGGATCAAAATGAGATGACATATGTTAAGTGTTTTATCTACTTTAAATAACTATATCAAGTCAACATGCTTTATCTACTTTAAATAACTATATCAAGTCAACAAGCACTTATTAAGCACCTACCAACTGTGTGCCAGGTACTGTGCTAACTAGTGATACAAAGAAAGACAAAAAATCAGCCCTGCTCTCAGGGAACTAATGTCGGGAAACAACATGCAAACGTACAAATGCAAGATAAATTGATGGTAGTCTCTGAGGGAAGGCATTAGCATTAAAGACAAATGGGAAAGGCTTGTTGTTCAGAAAGGCTTTTAGTTGACACTTGAAGGAAACCAGGGAAGCCAGAGACTGAGATGAGAAGGGAGAGCTCCAGGCACAAAAGATAGCCAGTGAAAATGCACAGAGTTGGGAGATGGAGTGAGTATTTTGTATGAGGAATAGCAAGGAGGTAAGTCACTGGATTATAGAATATAGGATGGGGAATGGGGTATAATAAGATGGGAAAGGTCAGAAGGGGCCAGGTTATGAAGAGATTTTAAAGCCAAAGGATTTTTTTAATTTGATCTTGGAGTCACTGCTGTTTATTCAATGAAAGTGGTGATATGTGTGTGTTTGATATGGTCAGACCTATTCATTAGGAAAATCAATTTGACAGTTGACTGGAGTGGGGAGGCTAGATGCAGGAAAACCAACCAAAAGGCTATTACAGTAGTCCAGGTGTCATTTGAGGAGGTCCCGATCCAGGATAGTGGCAGTGCAGAGGACAGTAGGGGGTATGAGAGAGATACTACAAAGGTAGAGTTTACAGGACTTAGAAGCTGAAAATATATGGGAAGTGAGAGAGTGAGAAGTTTAGATGGAACTAGGTTATGAGTCTGGGTGAATGGGAGAATACTGGTCCCCTCAATTGAAAAAGGAAAGTTATGAAAAGAGGAGAGTTTAGATAGAAAGATAATGAGTTAAGTGTATATGTGTGTATGTGTGTGAGTGTGAGAGTTTGTGTGTGTGTGTGTGTGTGTGCTATGATGATGATGACGATCATGATGATCTGTTTTATTGCCTACTAGAAATATTCCATATCTTAAGTAATGCTTGCACTTTTACTGGGAAATACCTTGGCTTGCTCCATCTGCATAACATAAATAGTCCTCTCTTTTCTGGTCACATGCTTCTTTCTCTTCTTTAGTTCCATTCCTCAACCTTGACTTTGATTCCATTCAACCCTACCAACCTTCCAACCTTAGCTGCAGGAAGAAGTTTCGGGATATTTACCCACTGGATCTGGTATCAGCATATGTAAGTCTTTTGGCGTCAGATTTAACATCCTTAAAACAATCTTTAGACTCTGTAAAACTTCCTGGTACATTTTTATCTCAAAAATGACAATCCTGTTAACTAAATTGTTTTATTATGCCTTGCTGTGGATAAGCTTAGAAATATTTTCTGCCACAACCATAGATAAATCAACTATAAAATGGAATCTGACAAAGAAATTTGACTCCCTTTCTGGCTAATGTATAAGCGTTCCCTGAAGTTCAGGATTGGGCTTCTCTCTCTACATTTTTTTGATGTTGCCTCTTTAGTTCTTATTATCTGATTATCATTTCTATCCATTTACCCATTATCCATTTCTGTGCTTTCTTTATAACTTTATAACACACATATGTGTGTATATGCATATATACATATTTATCTTTACTCTATCTCCTGAACTAAAGTTCCATGTTACCAATGAGTTCACGTGGATGTTATATAAGCATCACAACCTCAACATGACCAATCAATCAACCTCAAATTCCATTTCTAACAATCAATCATAGGATCATAGAATCATGAATCTAGAAATGAAAGAGATTTCAGAGGCCATCTAGAAAAATATCCTTATCTAATAGGCAAGGAAACTGTAGCCCAGGGAGTTTACTTGACTTGTCCAAGGTCATACTAGAAGCAAGATCAGAAGCGATATTTGAACCCAGGGCCTCTAATTCCAGACTCAGTGATCTTTAAACTTCTTTTTTGTGCAATACATTGTGCTAGATGCCAGGGATATAAAGACAAAAATGGGACAGACATTTTTTGTCCTCAAGGAGCTTACATTCTAATATGGGAAAAACAGATACATATAATTTTACAAAACATAAAATAAATATAAGTTAATTTCAAGGGGGAAGCACTAGCATCTAGAGGGATCAGAAAAGGTCTTAAAGTGCGTATTAAAAGAGCTGAGGGATTCTAAGAGGTAAAGTTGGGGAAGGAAAGCATTTTAGGAATGAGAGTCAGCCTATGCAAAGTAACAGAGATGGGATACAAAATATTTTAGGTAAGGGAGACCTTTTGGGCCAGTTTGGCTGGATTGTAGAATGCATGAAGGGGAGAAATAGGTAAGTCTGGAAAGGTAGGCTGGAACAAAGTTATGAAGGGCTTTGAATGTGAAACAAAGGGGTTTTTATTTGAAACCAGAAGCAACAAGGAGTCATTGGAGTTTATTGAGCAGGGCTGTGACAAGATTAGGCCTGTACTTGAGAAATATTGCTTTGGCAACTGTGTAGAATATGAACTGACTTATTATCTTCCCCTTAAATTTTTCCTGTTCCAAATTCCCCCGTTTTTCTTGCAGCCACCACCATCTTTCTAGTCACTGTGGCTTGTAACATTGGAACCTTCCTAAACTATACATTGCTTTATATCTAATCAATTGCTAAGTCTTATTGATGTTACCTTCACAATATCTCTTGAATGATTGGCTTTCCTTTCTCATTTACATGGCCATCACCTTAATTCAAGCCTTCATCACCTTAATAATAAGAGCTAGTATTCATATATAACTTAAAGGTTTACATTGCACTTTACAAATAGTGTCTCATTTAATCCTCACAACAATCTGAGGAGGTAGGTGCAATTTTCCCATTTTACCAATGAAGAAACTGAGGCAGACAGAGGTTAAATGACTTGCCCAGGGCCATACAGTTAATATGTATCTGAGGTCAGATTTGAATTCAGGTCAGTGGCAGAGTGGATAGAGTGCTTGGCCTGGAGTCAGGAAAACTCATCTTTCTGAGTTCAAATCTGGCTATATGATCCTGGAAGTCACTTAAACCCTGCTTGCCTCAGTTTCCTCATCTGTAAAATGAGCTGGAGAAGTAAATGGCAAACCACTCCAGTATCTTTGCCAAGAAAACCCCAAATGGGGTCACAAAGAGTCAGACACCACTGAAAAACAACTAAACAACTTCATGACTCCAGGTACAGGATTCTATCAATTGTACCACTGCAACTACCTTTCACCTGGACTCTTGCAATGGCCTCCTAATTAATCTTCTTGCCTTTATTTTCTTCCCTTTTCAATCCATCCGCCATGTGGTTTTCAATTCATATTGCTAATGCAGAGACTAAACATGTCATGCTGCCTCCCACCACTCAAAATTTATTTTCAATGGTTCCTAATTGCTTTTAAGATAAAATCCAAAATGCCAGGCATTTAAAGCCCTTTACCATCTAGCTCTTGCCAACTCTCCAGTCTCATTTCATATTATTCTCCTGCATGAAATCCCTATTATAACCAAAGTGGTCTGCTAACTGTTCTACACACATGATTCATACATGGTGTTTTATCTCTCTGTGCCTTTCCACAAATGATCCCCCATGCCTGCAATACATTCCTTATACAGTCTGCCTCATAGAATATAGAATTCCCCATTTAACATAAACTATAATTCAGGTGCCATGTGCTACGAGAGGTTATTACTGACTTTATTGATCTCCTAAGTTTTTACCTCTATCTCTTTCTTTCTCTTTCTTCCTTCCATCCTTTCTTTGATTCTTCCTTCCCCCCCTTTCTCTCTCTCTCTCTTAATCTCAATAAAACAATCAAGAATTTATTAAGTGTCAGGGAAGCTCAATGGCACAGCGAATAGAGCTCTGGCCTTGGAGTCAGGAGGACCTGAGTTCAAATCTGACCTCGGACACTTAACACCTACTAGCTGTGTTACCCTGCGCAAGTCTCTTAACCCCATTGCCTCACCAAAAAGAAAAAAAAAGAATGTATTAAGTGTCTTAAGTGCCTATTATCTTACAGCCTCTTCACTTGATAATGAGGATATAAAGACAAAAACAAAAGTCACTGTCCTCAAGGAGCTTACTTTCTAATAAGGGAGGCAAAAGATACATACATAGATACATACACAGGTACACGTGTGTGTATATGTGTTCATATATATGTTAATACACATACTTATATACATCTGTGTATATATACATACATATACACACATAAACATAATACACATACAAGTTACCCTCAACTGAGGAGACCGAGAAAGGTCTCAGGCAGAAGAAGAATTGAGCAGAGACACAGAAGAGGGGAGAAGGCTGGTGCGAGGCCAAGAGATGAGAGATAGAGAGTCAATTGTGAGTAACAGCAAGTAGGCCTGTCTGGTGGAACATTGAGAGCATAGAGGAGAATAGTGTCTAATAAGATTGGAGTGTTCCATTGGAATCAAGGTATGAAGGGCTTTAAATGCCAATGAGAGAAATCTGTTTTTGATTCTAGAGGTAAGAGGAAGCTCACCATAGTTTATTGAATACTAGAGTGACATGATTTAGGAAAATCACTTTGACAACTCTGTGGAGGGTGGATTAGAGTGAGAAAAGGCTTGAGGGAAGGAGACTCATTGGGAGGCCACTATAATAGTCCAGGGAGAAGTAATGAAGACCTGAACTAGGGTGGTGGCTCTGGAAGTATAAAGAAAGGGGTGAACATGAGAGATCTTGAGAAGACAGAAACAACACGTCTGTGCAACTGAGTAAGGGGGTAGGGGTGAAGGAAACTGAAGTATCAAGCATGATCCCCAATGATGAGAACCTGAATGACTTGAAATCTGTGAATTATGTGGGGCCAATCACAAAGACCTTAGCTTGATCCTTGCATCTATTTATTGCTAACCCAGTGTGAAGCATTTAGGAATCTTCTCCAGCACAGCGAGCTCCAAAGCCTCCCCCAACATGGGTTTGACCAACAAGAAAGGCCTTTAAGGAGGCTCAGTTATCTAAAGCTGGAAGGCACCCTAAAGGGATGAGCCAACAGGCCCAAAGAGATTAAGCTAATTGTCCGAGGTCACACAGGTCATAAAAATCAGACAGGATCTACATGGAACCAGATGCTGTCATGCCAGTGCTCTTTCCCCTGAACCATACAGCTTCCTAACACTTAATCACCACCATCATCTCTCATTCCTGCCTCAGAGAAAGTATGAGTCATCACGCAGGAGATCAGGGAGAAGATAGCTAATGAAATCCATGTTCTGTTCTCTCCAAATGGTGACATCATACTATCTATCCCTTCCATAAGTCAAATGGGAAGCAGGAAGTATGACAGCAGAAGAGGAAGAAGACTAGTGGAAATGACCCATCTCCTCATTTCCCTCTTTTGTAGAATGAGGATAATAATATTATCTGTCAAAATTTATTACATCTAGAAGAAAAAAAAGGTCTTAGAAGCTAGAAGGAAATCCTTGGAGCCCTGTGCTTATAGTCTGTCTTTCTTTTTAAAAATAAGTTCCATTGGGGCAGCTAGGTGGCACAGTGGATAGAGCACTGGCCCTGGATTTAGGAGAACCTGAGTTCAAATCCAGCCTCAGACGCATAACACTTACTAGCTATGTGACTCTGGGCAAGTCACTTAACCCCATTGCCTAGCCCCAAAAAAATTTTTAAAAAGTTCCATTGATGAATTTGTTTTTAATTTTTTGGACGTATTTCTGTATCCCTCCAAAAATGAACCCTCACTCATAACCAAGAAAAACAATCATGTAAACCATAATGACCACAAGTATTTTTCTGCTCCCATAGTCCCACACATCTGCACTAAGAGGAGGGGGCACATATTTCATCATCTATTCTCTGGGACTAAGATTATGCTTCCTTATGATGACTCAGCATATGATTTCCTTTTGCCATTTTTTCCTTTTACATTATGGCATACTTACATTTCCTAAGGTCATATTCGATGCATTGGCATTGCTCCTTTTGCTATATTTCTTCTTAACACAGTAGACACTCACAAGAGTCACTATCAGCATAGCAGCAAATACAGCTGCAGTGGATGAGACTACTACAATGATGGTGTCCTTGGTGGAGCCCTTAGTCTCACATTTTTCTCCAACATACCACCAGTCTTTCCCTGATTGACACCTAAAGAATAAGAATTGGACTCAGAAATATTGTAGCAAGATGTCCTCCAAAAGTTATTTGGTTAACATTCATCATGTTCACATTCAATGTCAGTAACTTCACAGCAGGAAAGATCACTGGAAAAAAATTTATTTGCTGAGTCAAAATTGTTTAATTGTATTATGTCTGACCACAATATTCAGAGCCTAAAATACATCCTCAAGAAAAAGAGAGCTATGTATCTTCCCTCCCCTGACTTCTGGAAAGAGGCAGCAAATTATAGGATGATGCCAGAGCAGCCAGTAATGGGGAAAGTGGTGAATAGATCTGAACCTGACATGTCCCAAATTTCCATAGTCTGGGCTCTGTTATGGAAACCGCAGGGATGCAGTGAGTCAGAGAGAATGAAACTGCTCTCCAGCTGGTACTAGAAAAACTCCAAAACTCAAATCAAATTATCTAATGAATGGGACTGCTATCTGTAGCAAACTCAGCAAGGACATTCCTACACACATGCATACACAAACACACATATACACATATCATGCTGTGTCTATACAGTTGTGATCTTTTCCCTTCAAGGAAGTACAGTGTGGTGTACTCAGAAGAGTTCATTGCATGGGTAGGATCAGAGAATGTAGAGTTAGAAGAAACTTTTGAGATAATCCAGTCAAACCCTCTCATTTCATAGAGGAGGAAACTGAGACCCAAGGAGTTGAAGTGACCTGCCCAAGGTCACATAGCCAATAAGTGCCAGAGTCAGAACTTGATATTTAATGGTCCCCTAACTGGTCTCCCTGCTTCATGTCTCCCAGCCTACCCACTGCTGCCAAAGTAACTTTCCTTAAGTGTAGGCGATGTGACTCCCATACTATTCCAATTCCAGGGGTCTCCTATTAACTCTGGGACACATTACAAGCTCCACTGTGTAGCATTTAAAGCCCAACACAATCTGGCCCCAATCTATCTTGCCAGCTTCATTGGATGGTACTCCCGTCCTACAGTGTGAGATCTAACCAAACTGACTTCTCTCTGTTTCTCATATACAGTGCGATGTTCCCCAACTCTGGGCCCATCCTTCCTTTTCACTGGCCATTCTTCATGCCTGGAATGTTCTCCCTCCTCACCTTCACCTCATAGAGTCCCCCTCTTACTGTAAGATGCAACTCAGGCATTGTCCCCTGCATGAAGCCTTTCCTGATTTTCCCAACTGCTAGTAACTTCCCTCTCAAATAAGCTTGTATTTAATACTTCTGGATATATTTATATTTATTCACTGTGTATTTCTGCTGTGTCTATTTTTACATATAATAATTATCTCCACCATTAGAACATAAGCTTATTAAGAGTAGGGATTGTTTCATTATGTGCACTTATATACCTAGCAAAGTGCCTGATACATAGTAGGTGCTTAACAAATACTTGCTGATTGATTTATTGATACTGTTCCCTGAGAACATCTATCAATCTTCTTCCTTTTTGACAAGGAAGTATTCATCTTTCTATAGCTGCCTTAGGGTGATGTGCCATTTGTTTTATTAATATTGAATTGTATTATTAACATTGTATAAATGTGAGGTGTTTGGATACTTTCTAAAATTATAATTATACTTTTTAGGGTAGGGATAGTGACTAACCTTGGTATTTTATTGATAAAGGAAGTCTCAGTCCAACAAAAAAGATCTCTACTGATTCAGGTCAACAACTTTTCTAGCACTTAGAGCCTTAGAGAGTTATCTGTTATCTAGACTCTAGAGTCCTGAGAGGACAGATGACTTGCCAAGGTTGTATAGCCAGTACTCATCTGAGACAGGACTTGAAATAATCAAGTCTTCCTGGCTTTAAGGAAAGTTCTTCATCCAACAGGGCACACTGCTTCTCATTTTCCATTGTACTGTCCCAAAAGCTGATATAAAGGCTGGGAAACATTCGTTGCTCTAAACATGTTCTTCCCATTTCACTTTTGTATGATTACAAATTAGGAGTCAAGAATGATACCACATGGCCAAGAATTGGAAATTGAGGGGATGCCCATCAATTGGGGAATGACTGAACAAGCTGTGGTACATGAATGTAATGGAACACTATTATGCTATAAGAAATGATGAGCAGGTAGACTTCAGAAAAACCTGGAAAGACTTGTATGAACTGATGCTGAGTGAAGTGAACAGAACCAGGAGAACGTTGTACCCAGTAACCGCCACATTGTGTGATGACTAACTTTGATAGACTTAGCTCTTCTCAGCAATGCAAGGATCTAAGACATCTCCAAAAGTGTCATGATGGAAAATGCTATCTACATCCAGAGAAAGAACTATGGAGTTAGAATGCAGATCAAAGCATACTATTTGCTCTTTTTTTTCCTTCTGTTTTGTTTTGATTCCTGTTTCTTGTGGTTCCTCCTATTGGTTCTAATTCTTCTTTACAACATCACTAATTTGAAAATGTGTTTAATAGGAATGTATATGTATAGCCTATATCAGATTGTGCACCATCTTGTGGAGGTGGCGAGGGAACAGAAGAAAAATTTAAAACTCAAAAGTGTATGAAGTGATTGTTGATAAGTAAAAATAAATTAATAAAAAAGGTTAAAAAAAAAGAATGATACCATGAAAATGATAAATGTTGGAGAACATGTGAAAAAATTGGAACACTTATGCATTGTTGGTGGAGTTGTGAACTGATCCATTCTGGAGAGCAATTTGGAACTATGCCCAAAGGGCTTTAAAATTGTGCATACCCTTTGACCCAGCTTCTAGGTCTGTATCCCAAAGAGATCATAAAAAAGAGAAAAGGACCACATGTACAAAAATATTAATAGTAGCTCTTTTTGTGGTGGCAAAGAATTGAAAATTGAGGGGATGCCCATCAATTGGAGAATGGATGAACAAGTTGTGGTACATGAATGTAATGGAACACTATTATGCTATAAGAAATGATGAGCAGGTAGACTTCAGAAAACCTGGAAAGGTTTTTATATGAACTAATGCTGAGTGAAATGAGCAGAACCAGAACACTGTGCACAGTAATAGCCACATTGTGCAATGACTGACCTTGATAGACTTAGCTCTTCTCAGCAGTGCAAAGATCTAAGACAACTCCAAAAGATTCATGATGGAAAATGCTATCCATATCCAGAAAAAGAACCATGGAGTCTGAATGCAGATGGAAGCATACTATTTGCTTCTTTTCTTTTGTTGTTTTGTTTTATTTCTTCTTTCTCACGGTTCTTCCCATTAGTTCTAATTCTTCTATACATCATAACTAAAGTGAAAATATGCTTAATATGAAAGTATAAGGGAAGCCTATATCAGATTACACACCATCTTGGGGAGGGAGGAGGAGAAGAAGGGGGAGAAAATTTAAAACTCAAAATCTTATGGAAGTGAATGTTGAAAACTAAAATTAAATAAATTATTTTTAAAAAAAAGAATGATTCCATGGTTGAGAGCTTGGATGACTGTGAGAATGATGTTGTCCTTGATGGTAATGTGAAAGTTGGTAAGAGGAGAGAGTTTTTTTAAAAAAAAACAAAAAACTTTTTTTAATAAGTTGAGTTGGAGATTTCTATGGAACATCCAATTTGAGATATCTCACATTGGTGATGTGAGAGTAGAAGTCAGGATAGAGGACAGGACTGGATAAAGAGATCTGGTATCATTAGCATAGGGATTTAATTAAACCCATAGGACCTAATGAGATTACTGATAGAGACAGTATAAAGGGAGAAGAAAAGAGGGCCCAGGATAAAGCTTTACAGGGTTAAGAGGGCCAGCCACAGTTAGGGACACTTATAATTTGTGTGAAATATAAAGGAAAATCTAGCAAAGATGTCCGAAAAGGTAAAAGGAAGTAATAGTTGCTGGACTGTACTAAGTTACAATTTTGTATTAATTTTATTTGAGGATGATAAGGTTTTTAAAAATACCTAGGACTATGCTGCTATAACCCTTTTACACCCCCCCAAAAATGAGTTATTTCAATGAGAAAAAATATTTTTTCAAAATAATACGGTAAAAATGACAATTTTATTTAAATAATGAATAAAATTTCTTCATAAAGCAAGAAGTAAGAACCCATTTAAATTAAAACTTGGTGGACTGGTTTTCATTATTTCATAAGCAATATCATTCTCCTCATTACTAGCCCTTGTAGGACACAAAGTAAATTATAGTGCAATGGCACCTGCAATAGAAAACATTGTATTGAGAATCAAAAGATTTGGATTCAAATCCTGACTCTGCCTCTTTTACCTGTGACCTCTATGGACCTTAGTTTTCTCATATATAAAATCAGGGAGTTGGATTCAATGATACCTCAAGTGCTTTCCAGCTGTAAGTCCATGATATTAAGATTCTATGAATATTACATGGTCAGCATTGCGAGGGATATAGGCATGGGAACATACCTTTCATTAACTTCCAAACCTCTTTTTTACAACTGGAGACACTTTACAAAGAAGTCATATAAATCAAAGTATGCCTAGAGATACAAGCTGTCTTTTTACCTGCATTCTGCTTTGTCATTGTGGATAACACAGATGCCGTCATTCTGACAGACGAAGTTTGCACAGAGATTTGCTTGAGGATTTGTTGGAGGGACTGGATTCTTTGAAGGATTAGGTGATGGCTCAGTAGAAATGAGATTTGATATATCTAAAGGAGAAAAGGGTTCATGAATAGAGGTTGGTTTTTGAACCATGAAATCTAAAGTTTTTGAATTATGGGTATTGCAGAACACTTAGGGCATTGAGGAATTGAGACCTAGTCAATTAGTCAATGTGCATTTATTAAGTGTTTAATATTTGCCAGCCAAGGTGCTAAGTGCTAGGGAAATAAATAAAGGGAAATAAAAAATGTCCTTACCATCAAGGAGCATACATTCTGGTGGAAAGAATAGATAACATGTAAGTAACTAGACACATAGAAGATATAAACAGGATCGATAGGAGGTCATCTGAAAGATGAGGCACTAGCAGCAGAGTTCTCCAACACTGGAGGTTTTCAAGAGGAGGCTAGATGACCACTTGATGAGGATATTGCAGAAAAGATGGACAGTCCAATGCAGAAAGTCATGCTATGCTGTGTGTTTCAGGACATTTCAAAATGGGAAAATTGGCAGAGATAAATCTGCATGTGCTCAGAGCTAACACATTTTACCTGCTTTTATTAATCAGAAAGCACCTGTTTCTTAAGCACCTACTATGTGCCAGGCACTAGGGATGCAAAGATAAAGTTATGAAAGTGAAATTAATACATGATTTGACAGAATTGATGAAACTGTCATTTTATTGCTTATAGCAAATTTATCTCCCTCCAAAAGAATAGGACAATGCTAAGTGATGCGTGCCAAGAGGTATAATCTAGTTTTTTTTCTATCAAACATACGAAAGTCAAAATACCCAATAGTTGGAACTGAGCCTTTTGCTATCACAAGACCTCTTTTTATCACTTCTTAAGGCAGGAAGATCAAAGATTAGAACATATTAGAGCCAAGGACCTTAAATAACAGATAGTCCCATACCCCTCATTTTACAGATGAGGAAACTGAGACCCAGAGAGAACCCAAGGTATGGTGGGTGGTTTGGTATAGACCTATAATTTCATTAGTGTGCAGAACTCACAGTGAGCCAACTTCCTCTACCAATACATATCTACAACTGTTTTCTAATTTATTATCTTGAAAAGATCCCTGGAGCACTGAGAGGTTAAGGACCTTACCCAAGTTCACATGGCCAGTATGTTTGGGATGCAGGACTTAAATCCAGGTCATCCTGACTCTCATGCCAGTTCTCTATCCTGTATGTCACATTGCTTCTCATAAGTTATGCATAACATGAAATAAATTATGACTCTAATTAACAAAACATGAGAACTATTGAAACAGGAAATATACTCTGATGCCTTTTCACAGTACAGAGGTGATCTAGGCAAGTAAAAGGCAACATCAATAGAGTACAAGCTCTGGCAGGCCCAGGGATGTGTTGGATACAGTTCAAACCAGCTCATACGAGGTGATTGTTAAATTTGAATTATGAGCATTTGCATTACAGAAACCAGAAAATGCTATGAATCAAGACTTGATTTGTTGATTGTATAGGCTTAAAAAAAGTAATAGAGAAATGGTAATAATTCAAATTAAACTTAAAAACACATTTTACATACATTTATTTTCTGACAAGCCAGTTGTTAAACATTTATCCAGCACACCACTGGTCTTACCCAGCTAAAAAGTTTGCCAGTGGGCCTATTGCCCAAAGCCCAGCCTAGCTCAACTTGGAGAAGCTCAACATCAGAAGACCAAGTATCAAGTGATGATTTTATTGGGTACAGAAGCTCATGAAATTACCTAATAAGATAAGTAAGGGTTACAACTTAAATCAACGGAGAGAGTGCACCCATCAGGCTGAAATCATGGATCTGCATTTATCAATTGTCAGAGCTCAGCTATTTTAAGAGCTAAATTGATAACTTTTTTTTACTTCTAGAAATATAGGCAAAGAAAATAGACATATATGTGAAGACATATTTCTTCTGTGAAGTTTGGATTCAGTCAAAGGGCCGCACTTGAGGACCACATGTGGTTTTCAGGACACAGTTCCCCACCCCTGATCTAGTCCAATTTTCTCATATTATAGTTGGGGAAATTAAGGCTGAGTCCTAGAGAAGTGTACTACTAAGCCACATGGAGAATTAATAGTGGAGTTGAGACTAAAACACAGGAGTATTTACTCTCAGGCCATGTATCTTTCCTATATACAGCCCTGTTGACTAGTTGCAAGATCTAAGTTGGACATGTTCTTGCTTACTCTAGAAACTTTCATCATGCCACAGCTAAATTATTTTATTCACATTGTAAACATCTCAAGAGGGTCTGGAAATGTCTCTTGCCTTCCCCTTCCCCACCCTGCCCTTTTCTCCTAAGAACACATTTCATACACCTGAAAATAGAACATAGAAACTACTCAGTAAGTCACCTATTGCAAATAAAGAAAACCATTCTCTACAAAAGAGTCACCTTGTATTGACATACCTTCCATAGTTAGAAGCATGTAAACATTATCTCCTTTGACAAAATCTCTGCTTTGCATCCTTTGGTGGGTGATGTAGACACTGGTTCCATACCTTGGACCTCTGCTATATAATGTTCCATTAGGGAAAGTTGCTGTCTCCCCTATTTTGGAGGGCTTGTCCCAAACAAAGATTTTATTATCAGTACCTGAAAAAGCAATTCATATTTATACGTCACATCCAGTAAGGTCAGGTTTTTGTGAAGTTGTAAAAACAAGCAAAGGTATGAAAGTCTAAGCATAAAATTAGGGTGGAGATCAGGCAACTAAATGGTGACAGGGAAGATCAAGATACAAATTCAAAAGAAGACAACTTCTTGTCAAAGTTGTCAAAACAACTATAAGCAAAGCCTCAAAGGGGATGGGGGGGTGAATTGGACACAAGTCCAACAAGAATTCCTAGAAGAACTAAAAAAAAAATTTTCATTATTAATTAAGATTGATAGAGAAAAATTGAGAAAAGAAATGAGAAATGCAAAAAAATTATGAAAAAACAATTAACAGCATGGTAAAAGAGGTACAAAAAAAATGCTAAAGAAAATAAAACCTTAAAAAAAAAAACCAGAAACTAGCCAAATGGTAAAAGAGGTAGAAAACTTGAGTGATGAAAATAACTCTTTAAAAAGCAGTCTTGGCCAAAGGAAAAAGAAGTACAAAAGGTCACTTGAAAAAATAATGTTTTAGGGACAGCTAGGTGGCACACTGGATAAAGCACTGGCCCTGGATTCAGGAGGACCTGAGTTCAAATCTGACCTCAGATACATAACACTTACTAGCTGTGTGACCCTGGGCAAGTCACCTAACCCTATTGCCTAGCAAAAAAAGGGAAAAGAAAAGAAAAAATAATCCTTTAAAAATTAGAATTGGGGAAGTGAAAGCTAATAACTCTATGAGATATCAGGAAACAATAAAGCAAAGTCAAAAGAATGAAAAACAGAAGAAAGTATGAAATATCTCATTAGAAAAACAGTTGACCTGAAAATAGACTGAGGAAAGACAATTTAAGATTTGTTGGATTATCTGAAAGCCATGATCAAAGAAAGAGTGTAGATATCATTATTTTTAAAAATTATCCAGAAAAACTCTGCCCTGATATTCTAGAGGGTAACATAGAAATTGAAAGAATTCATTGATCACCTCTTGCAAGAGACACCAAAATAAAAACTCCCAGGAATACTATAGTCAAATTCCAGAGCTCTCAGGTCAAAAAGAAAATACTTCAAGCAGCAAGAAAGAAATCATTAAAATACCGTGGAACCATAGTCAGGCTCACATAAGATTTAGCAGCTCCCACATTGAAGGAACAGAGGGCTTGGAATGTGATATCCTAATAGGCAAAGAAGTTAGGATTACAACAAAAACTTACTGTAATCTAGTATTATTATTATTTATACTCAGTTTTCCTTGTGATTATACTAAGTTTTCTTTGTAATCCTAACTTCTTTGCCTTTGAGGGGTGGTGGGGGGAAGGATATCTAATGAAATAGAGGACTTTCAAGCATTCCTAATGAATAGAACAAAGAAAAATAGAAAACAACTTTCAAGTACAAGACTCAAGAGAAGCATAAAAAGGTAAACATAAAAGAGAACTCATAAAGGATTCAATAAAGTAAAACCATTTGCATTCCTATTTGGGAAGATGATACATGTAACTGCTAAGAACTTTACCATTATTAGTACAGTTAGAAGGACTCTACATAGACAGACGGCATGAGTATGAGTTGGTTGTGTTGAAATGATCTCCAAAAAATGGATGGGTGAGAAAAAGGAATGTACTGAGAGAAGTGGGAAGGGAGAGAAAAAATGGGGGAAATTATCTCACATAAAAGAGGTACACAAGGAAAATCTTTTATAGTGGAGGGGTGTGAGGGACTGTCTATGTTGGCAACTACCAGGTGGGTGCTGTGGCAAGATTAGGGTAGAATCTGGGTATTTGGAAGCCGAGGCAGGGGCTGTGGTAGGCGGAGTCGTGGTGAACTGGGATGGGCTGGGGACGGAGAAGCCCTGAGGCAGTGGGCAGTGTTATGTGAGATAAGCTGGGTGCAAGGAAGTAGCCAGAGCTTGTGCTCCTGAGGCAAGGGGCGGTGCCACGTGGGAGTGGGACGGCAGAGGACTGAGTTCCTTTTGCTTAGTCCCCTCCCTATATGCAACGTCAACCCCAGACGCCTCCTTCCTGTGTCCTTCCTGACTTCCTAGGTCACGTACTCTGTCTATGCACTAATCCCAGGCGCCTCCTTCCTGTATCCGGTCCTAGCCTCCTGCGTCACTCCCTCTCCCTTGGTGTGCTAAACTCAGACAGCCCCTTCCAGTATCTGACCCTACAATCATTGGCGAGTAAGCGGGCTGGGGAGGAGGGGCTAAGTAGGTACTTAAGGACGAGCGTGGTCAGATCATGCGCTCTCTTTGCTCCTGCTCTGTTGCTCTGGCCTTGCTGCTTGGCCTTGCTGTGATGGCTTGCTGTGATGGCCTCTGAATAAAGCTCTCGTGTTGGCACCTCCCAATGTCTCGTCTCTGTGTGTTTATCCGGTTGAGGACCAAAGACTTGTGAGCGAGTATGACTCTGGCAGCCTGCTCCTTATAGGAGGAGGGTACGGCGCGGCCGGCAGAAGGTCGGCGCAGCCGGTACAGAGGGGAAAATAATGGAAAGGGAATGGACAATGCTTAAACCTCACTCTCATCTGAATTGGTTCAAAGAAGGGGAAAAATATATATGCATATATAAACATATATATCCATACAGATACATATGTGTGTGTTTGTATACACATGCACACACACACATATGCATACACACACACACTCGGGTACAGAAATCCATCTTACCCAATAGAAAAGGAAGAGGAAAGGAGAATAACAGAAAGGTGGAATTAAAAAGGAGAGTAGATTAAGGAAGGCGGTAGTCAGAAGCAAAACAGACTTCTGAGGAGGAGACAAGGTAAAAAGAGAGAAGGATAAACAAGAAAACAGGATGGAGAAAAATGTATAGTTACTATCATGACTGTGAATGTGAATGTGATGAATTCATCCATGAAATGGCAGCAGATAGCAGAATGGACTAGAAACCAGAATTAAACAATATGTTGGTTATAGGAAATACTTAGAACAGTTAAAATACACAGCCAGCTAAAATAAGGGGCTAGAGCAGAATTTATTATATAGCTAAAGTAAAAAAGGTGGGAGTATCGATCATTATCTCATACAAAACAAAAGCAAAAATAGACCTAATTAAAAGAAATAAGCAGGGAAACTGCGACTTGTTAAAAGATGTCATAGACAACAAATAAATATCAATATTAAACACATGTGCACCAAATGGTATAGCATCCAGATTACTAAATGAAAAGTTAAATGAGTTACAGGAATAGACAGTAAAACTTTACTGGTGGGGGACCTCAACTTTCATCTCTGAGAGCTAAATAAATTTAAACATAAAATAAATAAGAAAGAAGGTAAGGAGATAAATAGAATTTTTAAAAGTTAATTGTAAACCTCTGGGAAAAATTAAACGGGAATAGAAAGCAATATACCTTTTTCTCAGTTGTATATGGAACCTTCACAAAAACTATGTATTGGGGCATAAAAACCTCATAACCAAATACAGAAAAACACATATATTAAATGCACCCTTTTTAGACCACAAGGCAATAAAGATTATATTCAAAAAAGAGCCTTTGGAAGCAAAGATTAAAAATTAATTGGAAAATAAAACTAATCCTGAAGAATCAGTGGATCAAAGAAAAAATCATAGAAACAATAATTTCACTGAAGAGAATGACAACCAATGAGACAACATGACAAAATTATATATCTCTAAGTGTATACAACAATATAAGAGAAAAAAAGGAGATTGAGCATACAACTAAAAAATCTAGAAAAAGAATGAATTAAAAATCCCCAATTAAACATCAAAATATACATTCTAAAAATCAAAAAAGAAATTAATAAAATTGAAAATAAAAAACCACTGAACTAATAAAACTACTAGATGGTTTATGAGGGGAAAGAATAAAATAGATAAATCATTTGTTAACTTAATTAAAAAGAAAGAAGAAAGTCAAATAACCACTATCAAAAATGAAAAGGGTAGATTCAACCCCAGTGAAGATAAAATTAAAGAAATTATTAGGAGTTATTTTGTCCAATTACATACACATAAATATGACAATCTAAATGAAATGGATAAATTGTCAAGATTGAAAGAGGAGAAAATTGAATACTTCTTTTAGAAAAAGAAATTGAACAAGCCATAAATGACCTCCCTAAGAAAAACTTCCCAGGACCAGGTGGATTTACAAGTGAATTCTACCAAACATTTAAGAAACAATTAATCCAAATGCAATACAAACTATTTTTTAAAAAGATAAAGAAGTCCTGCCAAATCCTTTTCGTGACACAAATATGATTTTACTACCTAAACCAGGGATTAAAAAAAAGAGAAAAAGAAAACTGTAGATCAAATTCCCTATAAAACATCAATGCAAATATTTTAAATAAAAAACTAGCAAGAAGAGTTACAGCAATATGTCATAAAGATCATACACTGTGACCAGGTAGGATTTATACCACCAATGCAGGATCGGTTCAATATTAGGAAACTATAAGTATAATTGACCACATCAATAACAAAAACAACAAAAATGATCTCTCAATAGATGCATAAAAAGTTTTTGACAAAATGCAACACCTATTCCTACTAAAAACACAAGGTAACAAAACAGTAAATAGCTTTTCCTAAAATAATGAGTAATATCTATCCTAAAACCAAGAGCAACCATTATCTGTAATGGTAATAAAGTTGAAGCCTTCCCAATAATATCGCGGGTAGGGGAGAACAAGGATGTCCATTATCACTACTATTATTCAATAATGTATTAAAAAAATGCTAGTTATACCAATAAGGCAAGAAAAATGAATAAAAATAGGAAATGACAAAACAAAACTATCATTGCAGATGAAATAATGGTATATTTAGAGAATCATAGAGACACAACTGAAAAACTAGTTGAAACAATTAACAACTTTAGCAAAGTTGTAAAATATAAAATAAACCCACGTGATTCATCAGCATTTCTATATATAACCAACGAAGTCTAGCAGGAAGTAATAGAGAAATTCCATTTAAAATAACTACAAATAATACAAAATACCTGGGAGTCTACCTGCTAAGACAAACCCAGGAAATATATTACCATAATTATAAGTTATTACAAGAAGTCAGATCTAAACAATTGAAGAAATATTAATTGCTCATGGGCAGGTTGAGACAATATAATAAAAAATGACAATTCTGCCTAAACTAACTTGCTTATTCAGTGCCATACCAATCAAACTCCCAAGGAATTATTTTTAAGAACCAGAGAAAAATAATAACAAAATTCATCTGTAAGAACAAAAGATCAAGAATATCAAGGGAATCAATGAAAAAAATGTGAGAAAAGGCAGCCTAGCAAATTTCAAACTATGTAACAAAGTAATAATCATCAAAACAATCTGGATTTGGCTAGGAAATAGAGTGGTGGATCAGTGGAATAGATTAGCTATACAAAATATAGTAGTAAATCCAATGTTTGATGGACCCAGAAATCCAAGCTTTGGGAATAAAAACTCACCGCTTCACAAAAATTGCTGGGAAAATTCAAAAGCAGTTTGGAAGAAACTAGGCAGAGACCAGCATCTTACACTATGCCAAAATAAATTCAAAATATGTATATGACATAAAGGATGATATAAGTAAATTAGGGGAGCATGGAAAAAATTACATTTAAGATCTATAGATAAGGGAAGAGTTTATAACTAAGCAGGAAATAGAAAGAATAACTATAAGTAAAATGGATAATGTTGATTACATGAAATTTAAAAAGGGTTTGCACAAAGAAAATCAATGCAGACAAAATTAGAAGGAAAGCAAGAAATGGAGAGAAAAATTTTTACATCAAGTTTCTCTGATAAAGGCCTCATTTCTCAAATATATAGGGAACTGATCCAAAATTATAAAAAAAATTAGAACCATTCCCCAATTGATAAATTGTCAAAGGATTAAAACAGGCCATTTTCATAAGAATAATGTAAAGCTATTAAGGGTCATATGAAAAAATGTTTTAAATCACTATTGATTAGAGAAATGAAAATTAAAATAACTCTGAGGTACCACCTCACCCCTATCGGATTGGCTAAAATGACAAAAAAATGAAAATAATAAATGCTGGAGGGAATGTGGAAAAATAGGCACACTAATGCATTGTTGATAGAGTTGTGACCTGGTCCAAACACTCTTGAGAACAATTTGGAACTATGCCCAAAGGCCATAAAACTGTACATACCTTTTGACCCAACAATACCACCACTAGGTCTATATCCCAAAGATATTTTTTAAAGAGGGAAAAGGATCTATTTGTATCAAAATATTTATAACAGTTATTTTTGTGGTGGTAAAGAATTGGAAACTAAGGGGAAGCCCAACAACTTGGAGAATGGCTAAACAAATTGTGGTATATGATTGTGATGGAATACTATTGTGCTATGAGAAATATTAAGGATGTGGTTTCAGAAAAACCTGGGAATACCTTTATGAACTAATGCAGTGAAGTGAGCTATACCAGGAGAACACTGTACACGGTAACAACAATATTGTAAGAATACCCAACTGTAATGGACTTAGCTACTCTGATCAAGACAAGGATCCCAGAAAATTCCAAAGGACTCATGATGAAAAATGCTATACACTTCCTGATGAAGTGTGAGTATAGATTGAAGCATACTTTTTTCCAATTTATTTACTTTTCATGATTTTTGGCAACATAGCAAATACAAAAATATGTTTATCGTAACTTCACATGTATAACTGATATTATATCACCTTCCCTCTCAATGGATGGAGGAGAGGTGGGATGGAGGGAGAGAATTTGACCCCCAAAATTTTTAAGTGAATGTTGAAAATAAATAGGTAAAAAATAAAAAGATAATTTAAAAATAATAGTCAGAAGATCATCCTCAAAATACCATTCTTTTTAAGAACTAGAAAAAGAGGCACGATGGTCACAGCATGGACCAATCCTTAAGAACTTTTCAATGACTAAATTATATTCCTCTCCCCTAATGCCATCCTTTCCCCTGTTGCCCCTGCTTAACCCAATTCATTCATTTATTCAACAACCATTTATTAATCAGGTCTCTTCTACTCAAGAATTGAATTATATTACTATCATGTCCAACTCTGGTGTAACCAGGGTAGTTGGATGACACCTAGGGAAGCCAGGAAAGTGAAGTAACCAGGAAACAGGAGTGGGACCTAAATCAGAGGTTGAGAATTAATTGGGTAGAGTGGTTACCCTTTGCATCCAACCTGTCCTGACCCAAACTTCTCATGTGGCCATCCTTCTTATTCCAAGTTTCTCTGTTAGAGCTTTTGCTGCCCATCATTATTGACACTCACCTTGCTGCAATCACTTCAATACTTGCTCACAAGTTCCATTAATCCAAAGACTCTGGAATCTTATACCAAACTAACTGGTGATCCCTATTAACTGATCAGCAATTAGTGCCATTTTCAAGCCTTCCTCCCTCCTTTATTTTCTCCTCTCTCCCTAGTTTCCCAGTGTAAACAATATGTTGTGTCAGAAATAAAGGGGAAAAAGTCACAAACCAATTGTCTGGAATGGATCTGTAGTCAGACTTCTCTGGTTGGACATGCTCCGACGAATATCAGGATCTTGATCCAATAGTGTCATTGTGACTTGTTGCCATGGACATGGCCACTGTAATTGTTCATCATTGGCTCCAGAGATCAGGGAGAAATATATCCCTACATTATTCTGATCACTTACATCTAACTGAACCTCATAGGCATAGCCTAGAGGAGAGTAAAATGGAGGGCTAACGATGACTCCATTTGAGTTACTGAGTTGTGTAAAATTGCTTATCTTCCACACATGATGAGGACAGCGTGTTTCTGAAAGATTGATGTCATCAATGGAGAGACCACCAGATGATGTGCCAAAACCTCGAGTTCCTTCAAATACCACCCTGAATTTGGTGGTGACTGCCAATGGTACATAATGGAGTTGCCAGCTCCCGATGGATTCATCTGTAATAGAAGAGAACTGTTGGCTTTAAAAAGTTAGACAATTACCAAGTCATATACTAATAAATAAGAAAAGTTCATAGCCTCCATGACTAAATGGTAGTTCAAAAGTCAATAATGTGCTATGTCATGGTTCCATCCACTCTCTCATCCAAACATTTTACTTCCCAATATTCATGCCAGATCACATGACCTGAGAGAATGCTTGAGCACATATCTAGTAATCTATGAAGTTGCCTATACTTTCCAGGGTTACAGGGCTAAATAAGAAGCCATATTTAGGGGGCAGCTAGGTGGCACAGTGGGTAGAGCACCAGCCCTGGATTCAGGAGGACCCGAGTTCAAATCCGGCCTCAGACACACAACACTTACTAGCTGCAGCTAACCCTCACTGCCCAACAACAAAAAATAAAAAAAATAAAAAATAAAAAAGAAGCCATATTTAGCAATTAAGCTTTACTTCTGTGCTACTTACAAGAATGTAGGAACTAATACTAAATAATAGCTAGAATTTAAATAGCACTTCAAGGTTTGCAAAACACTTTACAAATAGCTCATTTGATTCTCACCACAACACTGAAAGGTAAGTGCTATTATTATTCCCATTTTACAGATAAGAAAACTAAGGCAGACAGAAGTTAAATGTCTTACCCAGGGTTACACAGCTATCAAGTGCCTGAGACTGGATTTGAACTCAGGTCTTTGAACTACCACACTGAGTCAGATGAATGGCCTTTCTATCCTTGTGCTTACCTCTGTTTGAAAGTCACATCAAAGATCTTTTGAAGAAGAGTGTCCCAATAGCGTTATAGATTTAGAGTTAGAAGGGACTTTACAGACAGCTCATTGATTTTATACATCAGAAAGTTAAGGCTTCTAAGGGTTAAGTGGCTTTCCTTTACTATCAGCTAGTAAGTGGTAGTGCCATAATTTGAACCCAGGTCCTCTGATCACTAATCCATCACCCTTTCCACTGCACCATGATATTTATCTCTTGCAGCATTATCTTCAAACTCTAGTGATTGAACCAGAATATTCCTGGTTCTCTTTTTGTAGTTCCATCATGTCCAAAGTTAGCTAAACATTCCATGAGACTGTTTATATTTTGGGCCTATATAGGAAGCTAAGATCCTACTAACTTGAAAGTCCTAGAAACGTATGAATTCCTGGGGAAAAATTTTGGCAGGTTTACTGCCAGCTACCCAGTGATAATGCACAGATTGATACCAATCCTTAGAAAGATTATTTCCTGAAATCTTGCTCCCCAGAAACTCACCTTAATGTCTTGATATTTGGGCAATTTACCTGGCCTATTGCCACAAGGAAGAGGGGAACAAGCATTTATTAAACTTCTACTATGTGCCCTTGGAGGCAGCTACTCTTGTCCCCATTTTATAGGTGAGAAAATTGAGGCAGATGGAGATTAAAATACTGGCCCACTTAATAAGTATCTGAGGTTAGATTTGAACTCAAATCTTCCTAACTCCAACCTCAGTGCTCTATCCACTGCTCTACCACTCACTCTAAGTTTATCTATATAGAAGTAGATACCTTATTGTAGGGTACAGTGAGGTGGTGCAATGCAGGACCTGATGTCAGGAAGACTCAAAGTTCAAATCTGGCCTTAGACACTTAACTGAGTGACTCTGAGTAAGTCACTGAACCCTGTTTGCCTCAGTTTCCTCATTTGCAAAATGAGCTAGAGAAGGAAATGGCAAACCATTCCAGTTTCTTTGCCAAGAGAACACCAAATGGGGTCATGAAGAGTCAGACAACTGAAACGACTAAACAATAACGAAAACCTTGATACAGAATTATAAACAGAGTAAGGAAGGAGATGAGGAATCTTCTAGAACAACCCCTGCCCAAATAATTAATTCTAGCTGCAACATCCCCCAAAGTGAGCCTTCAATATCTACCTCAAGATCTTCAGTGATAGGGCATTTACTGTTTTGCACCATCTTTGCTAGTGTACTATGCCCATCTCCCTTACATACCACCACCTCATTCCCTCTCACCACATCCCCAAGAGGAGGAAAGGAAGGATATGTAAAAAGCTGTCCCAGAAATCCCTAGCCAATCAAGAACTGAGGTAAGGAACTCATGTCAGTGAAGCAGTGAAACGGAAATGACCACTGTAAAATGAGTAGGAGGGAGAGGCCATATGGCCTTTTAGCTACAGAGCCAGCCTTAGAGTCAGGAAGACATGGTTTCAAGCCCTGCCTCTAATGCATACTTGTTATGTGGCCTTGGGCAAGTCTTTGACATGTGCCCAGGCAACTCTCAAGATAAGCAATTCAATGCTGTGGCTGATTTGGATTGGTGAGGAAGGAGAGGGTTTCCTTACCAGAAGTCCCTTACAAACAGCAAAACCACAGGTGCAGACCAAAATAAAATAACATAAAGGGGGCATAACTGGCACTTGGTAATATGCTTGACTAGCAAGACAGAGATCCCTCAATTATAGAAAATTACTACCTAGCTATATTCTATACTACACTAAAGGGGTTTCCAGAGCCCTTCAGGTTTCAGTGATCCTGAACCCTGAATTATTCAAGAGGCAGCAGTCTGAGATTTAACTCAAGCCCCCCAAGTAAAAGTTCTAGAAAGGCTCCTTTAGCCTCTTGTTAATCTAATCACAAGACCTTTAGGTCAATTGCTTGTTCTCTGATTTGTAAAAAATGGCTGTCAGGCAAAGAAACAGATGTTTGGTTTCACAAACCTGAGCAAGGAAAAGAGAAGGCAGAATAAAAAAAAAAATGAAAGTCCTGGACCAGGTAATCACTAGGGTTGCTTCCAACTGAGAATCCCATATGCATCTCAAACCATCAGAAGACCAAAGCACAGTGTTATAAAGGAGGAAAAGCTCCCATGTGTTGGAGGAAGGGAAGCAAAGAGTTACAGAAGGTCTCAGATCAAAGTCAAGCTTAATTATCTGAGAATGAAATCTCATACCTTTCACTTCATCCACCAGAGTAAGAGAGCCATTACCATTTTCTGAGGTATACTGCCTGACATAGATCTTGAGCTGGTCGTCTTTGTTACTGCTGCTGGAGTGATAAAACTGCAAGCACTGAAACTCTCTCTTGGGGTAAAATATGCGGCTTTCCAAGATTGCCTTTTCCCCCTCCTTCACAGAGCTGGTGTCAAAATGCATAAAGAAACCAGAGTCTGGGAGACAACAAAGAAGAGATTAGACACTTGAAGACCCTAGCTTTAGAAGAAAAAATTCCACGGGCAGGTGTAGTTAATATTAATACATGAGATCACCAAAAGCTTACTATCTTTTTTTCACATCCTACAACCTAAGCTACAATCAAGACTTGGAACATTACCTCATTGAGTCAATGCTAAATAAAATATTAGTCAGTCACACATGTGGTGGGGAGAAAGACATTTACAATAGTAAAACACTCTGCTTTTACATGGCTCCATGCGTAACCATGTTAGGCAAGAGGGGAAACTGAGACAAAAGACAATCACAAGTACCAACACATTAAAAATCTAGTGTGTCATTTTACATCCTGCTTATTCAGGTGTGTGCTGGTAAATGTTTGGGGCAATATCCTATATATATGACACATTTTTAAGTTTAATCTTCATTAACATTTTTCTTCATTACTTTCTTAAGACTAGACAATCAACAAAAAAAAAATAAAGTCCTGATTGGTAGTGTTTTTTGATTTCTGAAGCATTAATGTTCACATTGAAAATTAGGCTTCAGGTTGGAGTTCCTGCCAAATCTGCCCACAAACACATGCCTTACTCCCTCCACAGGAGGAAAAGAAGTGCTCTGTGAATGTTCGCCTAAGGGTACACATCAGGAATATGAGAAAGAAAGAAGAGAGATCAAATCAGGAAAGGGGCTCCAGAGGGGTCCAAACTGCTTGAATTGTTTCACTTTCTGAGCCTCAGTTTTCTCATTTGTAAAAATTTTCAGGTTTATAAAACTGCTAGATGTTCTCAAAGTTCCTTTCTGCTCTCATGTTCTGTCATCGTAGTTCTAATTACTCAATCTTCTGATTAAAAGTTACCTCAGGGAGATCATGGGGCTAAGTCAGAGTGGGTATTTGCTTCTTAACTAGCTAAATATAGGTTTCTTTGTTAGCTTTTGTTCAGCACTTGCTATGTTAAAAGTGAAGACTGAGAACTATAAAAATAGGGTTCCCGCTCTTTATAAGTTCACATCTTATGAAGGACACAATATAGCTATAGAAGGTAAAAAAAAAAAAAAAAGTCTTATCAAATTATTTCTGATTGCAAGAGATAACAATTCTCAAGAGAAAGGAAAAAAAAAAACACCTGAGTTCAGATGTTTGCTTCAGCCTGCTCCCCCTTCCTTAAACTTCCTGTTTCTCCACTTCCTCCCCACAAGAGCAATTTGCCCTTTCACTTGTCATATTCTCCCCTAATTACCCAAGATCATTCCCTGCGAAGGTTGAGAATAGGAGCTCCCAAGTCACTCTCCTTCAATAGCTTACAGTTCATGAAGTAGTACTTACTTATGACTTCACAGGGAAAAGAACACTGTCTCAATAGCCAGAGGACAACGGATTCAAATGCCACCTAAGACACTGCCTCAACGACCTTGAGCAAATCAATTACCTCTCCTGGACAAAAGTTTACTCAACTATAAATTGAAGGAGGTGAACAAGATGGCCTCTGAGACCCCTTCTAGCTCTGAACCTCTAGGTCTTGGATTCTGTCTCTCTTAGTGTCCTGACCTAATCATTTGAACTAGTATAACAGCCTTAAGTTTCAGCACCTGATTTTACACGTTTGTTACCAATCACAGAGATATCAAGTTTGGGACTAGCAATGTGGTATTGGAAGACCACTTTAGCCCAAACCAAACTGCAAAGGGAAACATGAAATAAATAAATGAGGTCTCTTCTGCCAAGGTTTTTCACTTGCTTTGATCATCTGAGGTCAGATTTTCAAGGACAAAAAATATATACACTTTAATCTCTCTCTCTCTCTCTCTCTCACACACACACACACACACACACACACACACACACACACAACTGCTGAAGCAATCTCTCTTCAGGCTGGAAGCCTGAGATCTGAACTATAGATCAAAAATCTAGACCTCTGAGGGCATCAAGCCCGATTCCTTAATTTTACCAATAAAGAAACTGAGAGTCAAGGGGTTTAAGTGACTTATAGTGAAATCACTGGGGGATTTGAACCTAGGATTTTCTAAATCTAGAGTCACTGTTCTTTTGACCTTACCATAGTCCAAACTCAGTGAGATGTTACATATATAGGAGGTTAAGGAAGAAGACCTTAATCATCTTAATTTACTAAAGTAACAAGTCACATTGCCAGACTGCTCTTAGTATGAATTTTTAGATAGATAATAAGTCTAATAACACTTATAGAACTTTGGAATAAGACCCCATTCTTCCTTTAGACAACATTCAGCCTCTTCCTTTAAGGTAGCAACCTGGTATAAGAGATAAACTTTCTGGACTGGGAATCAGGAAGACTCAAGTTCCCATCATGCTTCAGGAACTTGATATCTGTGTGACCCTGAGTGGTTCTCTCATCTGTAAAATGAGGAGGTTGAACAGGATGTCCCCTGAGGTCACTTGCAGCTCTAACTTTATGATCATATCATAGATAAGATGTCATGACTATGCTGATAAAAGCACAGGCTGAGAAAGCAAGGCAAGAGCCATTAGGTCCCACCCAAGGTAGTTAGTTACCTTTGCACTTGCCCAGGTTTGATTGATCAGTGTCTGGGCCACCAGGCACCCATGAAACCCTCTGCCAGTCACTATTATCTTCAGAATTTTGAATCATGCCACAGATATTTTCCAGTTCAAAATCGCATGAGTCCATAAAGGTTAAGAAAGAAGCTAGAGAAGACAAAAATCACTGAATGACTCTCTAGTTAGACAGAAATTTTATTCTGTTTTTAGAATAACTAAAACTGTTTTAGTTCATTGTATATGAATTGAGGAAGAAGGAAGGCAGCCCAGCAAGCCGTGAGTAGTTCCCTGAGGAGCTCTGATTAATGCCAGCCCACATAACCAAAATAGGAAGGCATCCCACAACTAGGTAGAGCTGCCCTAACTTGAAGCTGTTCATTAAGGGATGTGTTGAATCAAGGCATACTTCCTTCAGTCCTTCTCAAATTACTGAGCTGGCTGAGCCATAGTCCAGCTTCTTTCATTACTCCTCCTCAGGAATCTATACATTTCATTGCCATCCAGGTACTGTTTGAAAACAGCTTTCAATATGTCAAATATACCTATTTCTGGTCCAGGAGCAGTCCTTCAGAAACCTGTTTGATAGATCCTGATGTCAAATTTACATTTGCAAGAGCAAATATAAAATCATATATCCCACAAAGCACAAGAATGTGTTTTCAGATCAGAAAGATCTATTTAGAAGAATACTTTTGAGTCTTCCTTGTAGCCACAAAGTGTTTAAAGGAGTCAGTGTGGTATAGTGGCTAGAGGGCTGGTTTGGGAATCAGAAGTACCTATGGTCAAGTTCTGCTTTTGACATATAAGATTTGTGTTAGTCAATCATCAATTAGCATTGATTGCTATTAAGCACCTCCTACATGCCAGGCACTGTTCTAAGCACCTGGAACATAATGAAAAGCAAAAAACCCCAAACATTCTCTGATCTCAAGGCTAATGGAAGTTACCTCTGGGCAAATCATTTAACCTCTCAGTACCTGAAGGTAGCACCCTAAAATCATAGAATAGACATCAAACTACACTGGTAGAGTTTTCTCACTAGGAGGAAGTTCCCTCTGCCAATGAAATCTCATTCCCATAAAATGGTCCAAAAATGGCTCACAGTTATGTGGTGATTTATAGTTTATACAGCCTTTCTCACAATAAACCTGTGAGCTTCTGGTACAAATATTACCTCAATTTTATAGGGGCAAAAACTGAGGTAAGTAACTTCCTAAAATGACATAGTTAATAATAAATGGCAGTCACAACTTGGTTTTTGGTTTCCTGACTTCAAGCCCACTGCCCCAAACTGCTTACCTAAAACACTATGTAGCTATAGTGTAGATTTAATTCTGATTATTCTTTTCCCATTTTTCATTGACTAAACTTTTCCTAATTGCAAGAACAAAGCAGGCTGAAACTTTTCCAAACTCAGCTGGGGGAAACAGCCCTGGTTCCCCAGAGACCAGGATACTTACAGCAGTTGTAGAGTTTTCTCAATTTTTCAAGGTCATAATCACTGAAATCCATTCGTTGTCCAATCACATCCAAAAAGTAAGGGATCCTAGTCACAATTGTTGGTTCTATTCCACTTTGGAAGGCAGTTTTGCTATAGTGCATCACAGATGTGTAGTCATAGGGAACATTCAGAGAGTCTGATTCCTTATCATTGTAAATATTGAAATTGTGTTCTGTGCCTAAAATAAAAATAATAACATAAATAATAAAATGTAAATAACATGAAATTTTTTAAGTTTGGAATTTATGGACCTCAAGTTACCCTATAGCAAATGTTGCGTGGTACTAAATGGCACGACATTTCAAAGTGTGTGGTATGCACACACTCTTCATATTCAATACAACACATATGTGTTTTTTTACTGTACCTATTTGTTACCAAGGTAAGGTTTTGATTGGATCTCCTCAAGGACAGAAACTATCTTTTTTCCTTTCTTTGTTTCCACAGTGCTTGACACATAGTAGATGATCAATATATGTTTATGGACTGACTGAAGTGTTGTGAAAATAGTAAAAACTGTAAGAGGGAAATGATAATGATACAAAAAAAGGAAGAAAAGAAAATCAATCAAATATTTTTTAAAATATGCAAAAGAGAGCAGGAGGAAATTCAGAAAGGGATATAGTCAAAAAGGGTGAGGTGTTATGATAAATAGAATGTATACTTTTAAAAAAATAAGTTTTACATTTTTACATTTGAAAATTAAGATAAAATGAGAGACAATGATGTGATCATGAGCACCTTACTTGTTAGGCTATCAGTAACCAATAAATTGGGTCAGTGGATTCTCTCAATGACCAAACACCCCAAGGTAAGACTCACCGTCATTAATATAATTTTAGTAAGTATAGAGCTGGGTAGGTGGGGAAGAGGATATGATCAGTTACAAGGAAAATAGCATCATGGAGGTGAGAACAACGTGATTGGTTATTTCAAGGAAAGCAGCTAACACACAGGGGACTAGCAACCACCCCTCTCTGGACAATTAAGGAATGTTAATTGTTTTATGGGACCCGGGATCATCTTGTAGGATCTGTTAGCTGACTTCAGTTAGCCGACTCCCTGGCACCTAGAAGAATTTGTAGGGGAGATAAGAATGTTGCAAGGACGGACAATATACCTTTTGGGGATAATAACAAGTTAACTTGTAACTAACTCAGAGGAGAAGCTGATTCAGAGGTAGAGAAATGTGGACTGAGCAATTATACAAAATGAAACAGTAATATAGAATAGGGTCAGTTACAGAATAGAATCAATTATTAAATAATACAGAATAATTTTAATTTCTTCAACATAGCAGATTTATTGTTTTATGTACAATCCTCTTTTTATGTTCTTTGCCTGTAAAAATGTTTATGTTTCTTGATGACTAAATTTATAATAAAAAAATCTATTTTAAAAATAGAAATAAAGTATATAATATGGATACATTCTGAGACTAAATAACTGGCATCTATATTGTGCTTTACAATTGTAGAGGACTTTCAAATTATCTCATTTGATCCTCAATGGTCCAGTAGCATACACAGTACAATACATATTCCCATTTTGTGGATCAAGAAACTAAAGTTCAGTGAAGTTAAATGACTGCCAGAGATCACAGAATTGGAGGGTTGGAACAGACCTCAGTGACCATCTAGTTCAACTATATCATTCCTTCTTTTTGTTGTTAAATGTCTTATAAGCTCTTTCTCTCCTTTCTCTCCTCTCTCTCTTATTAATTCTCTGCAGTCTGGATCCTAACCTCATCATTCAAATGAAACTACTGTCTCCAAAGTTATCAGTGATCTTTTAATTTCCAAATCTAATGGTTTTTCCTCAATTTTCCTCCTTTTTGACTTCTTCATAGCCTTTGACACTGTTGATTACTTTCTCCCCCTTTATGCTCTCTCCTCTCTGGGATTTCATGACATTCCTCTCTCTTGGTTCTCCTGCTGCTATCTAACTCCTCCTTCTTAGTCTCCTTTGCTGTACTATCTTCCCAATAATAACCACCAATGCTGATTGCCACCGGGGGTCTCACAGTGGCCCTCCATACTAAATTGCTTGGTGATCTCTTCAGCTCATAAAGATTCCATAATCATACATAATTCACTAAGCAGAGGATTCCCGTATTTATTTACTCAGCTCCTTATTACCAATGAATCAAATATAAAATCTTTTGTTTGGCTTTTAAAGCTCTTCATAATCTGACCTTTCCCTGCTTTTACAATCTTCTCATTCTTTATTCCTCTCTATATACTCAATGACTCCGCATCAGTGGTCTTCTTGCTGTTTCTTGAATGTAACTCTCCATGTCCTGACGTCACACCTTTTTACTAGCTATCCCCTATGCCTAGAATCCTCATCCTCCTTATCTCAGCCTCCTGGTGTCCCTGGTTGCCTTCAAGACTTAGTTCAAATCTGACCTTTTATAACTGGTCTTTCCCCTCATTGCTAGCACTTCTCTAGGAGAATACCTCCCATTTACATCATATATACCTTGAATGCAAACAGTTGTTTGCATGTTGTCTCCCCCATTAGAATTTGAGCTCCTCCAGGGCAGGGACCACCTTTTTTGTCTTCCTTTGGATTACCAGTGTTTTGCACAATGTTTGTCACATAATAAGTGCTTAATAAAAGCTTGTTGATCCACTAATGACTGGAAGGGGGTACAACCACTTGACTCTAGTCTTAAATTCTCTTAAACAAAAACAAGCAAGGAAACCATACCTTCCAGAATTCTGTCCTCCATTATTATGACGTAATCATTTCGATCTGAACGGGACTGTTCATGCCAGAATCCCAGAGCGTGGAGGAACTCATGTTGAACTGTCGCTATTCTGTCACAATTGTCTCCTATGGAAAGGGTCTGTTTGCCACGACGTCTATTTCCTACTGAAGAATAGCATCTAAAAACAAGGTACGAAGTGGTAAGATGACTAACATTAAATGCAAAAGTTACACATCTGCTGTAGAAGATGGCAAAAGTCATGATCATTTGGCATAGTTAAGCAGTAGCAATTAGCCCTCAAATAGGAGTTCATAGATGGATTAGCAATATGGCCAAAGACAAGTCAGAGATAATTATAACCTGTAAAGTTCTCTATCAAAGGGATAGAGAACAGATGGTTAAAACTATAGACTAATGAGCTGAACATTAAGATCAACAATGGATGCAATTCTAGAATAAATTTTTAAATGTATGGACTGAGAGAATTTGGGGAAACTTGATGAATATGGGCCAACATTGGCTTATTACAAAGAAGAAATGCAAGAATAACCTCATTTCCTTTTTGACCAGACTACTCTCTATTTTCCATCTGCAGTTCTGATGGTTTGAACAAGGCCCATTATGCCCCTGTACAGGATACCCCCTGGTGATGCAACCTCTCATCCCTTTGCAGTTTCTTTTTGAGGGTGTTGCCTTCTTCCATTAGATTGTAAGTTCCTTGAAGGCAGGGACTATCTCTTCTTTTTCTTAGTTGTATCCCCAGAATTTAGTACTGTGCCTGGCACATAGTAGTCGTTTAATAAATGTTTATTGAAGTAAATGTTTACTGACTAGTAGCTCAGGGAAGTAAAATAGACTTAGTACCCTGAATTTCAGCATGTCATTTGACAAAGCCTCTCAAAGTATGCTTGTGGCATAGGGATAGGGACTGGACTTGTTTATCTAGGGAACTCCCAAGGGAGGAAATTCTCCACCAATGTAAGTAGAAACAGAGGCCACTAAACCATACGTAAGTATTCTTGAGCACAAACTGACTTATAAAACCACATATCAATATTATCTATGTTTTATTGTATTTTGACTTATTTTGTTATATATTAACCCCATTACATTTTAATCTGGTTCAGGCTGCACTGAGGATGGTTGAGATACATGGTAATTGAAAACTCTGGGCTAGAGCACTCAGAAGTTAAGTGACTTGCCCAGGCTCTCATAACTATACACAAAACTTGAACCCAGGTCTTCTTGGCCTCAAGATCAGTTCTATAGCCATTATATCACACTGACTCTTGTGGATAAAATATGGAAAGATTCCATTCAACAAACAATTATTGAATTTAATTGACAAATTTGGTCTGATTAGGGTTTTGTGGTATGGAACTGGTTGAATGACAAGTCCTAAGAGTATTTATTAATGGAATAATGTCAGATTTCATGAAAGGATAGATTCTATCTTCATCATATTTGCATCCTTACCATATCTAACATGGTGTTGTGCACGTAGCAGGTAATAAATAATTGGCAAATGGGCAAAATCAGATTATAATAAGCAGCAATGGCAGCCAAGTACATAGTAAACTCAGGGTTTTGTTTGTTTATTTTGGCTTGTTTTTGTTTGGTTGTTTGTTTGAACATGATCTGTACCACCTCCTCCTTCCCGGTCTCCCTGAGGCACTTTCCAGATTCAAGCTAAACATTTTTCTGAAGTTCAGTTGTTTTCGGTTGTGTCTGGCTCTTCATGGCCCCATTTGGATATTTCTTGGCAAAGATACTGGAGTGTTTGCTATTTCCTTCTCCAGCTCATTTTACAGATCAGAAACTAAGGGTTCAGTGACTTGCCCAGAGTCACACAGCTAGTAAGTGTCCAAGGCCAAATTTGAACTCAGGAAGATGAATTTTCCTGATTCCAGGCCCGGCACTCTATCCACTGCACCACCAAGCTGTCCAAGTCAAACATAGGCAACACATAAAGATAAGGTCCTGGACTTAATTGTTTTGATTTATAACATGCTAAAGACCCTCAGTTTTCAGAAAGTTCTTAAAATGTCAGATCTTTCTCTTACCCACTTCCTTTGAACACTGAAATATAGTTGTCTTCACCTTCCCATGGCTTAAAGTCAATGCAGGTTTTTAAACGGTACCGTTCAAATGCATTCAGGATAACTCCTTTAGCATTTATTTCTGAAGAAGAAGAGGAGACAAAAACAGTGCCTGTTAACCACCAATAGCATCCAGAATTTAGAGCTGGACTTCCCCTCTGCCCCCCCACCCCCACCCTGAGCTAAAACCTGTCTCTCAAAGGCCAACAATGATCAAAGCCAAAGGTCTCTTGTCAAGTCTCATCTTCGGATTCTGCAGCTTCTGACACTATAAATGGCTCCCCCTTCTTCACCCTTTCTCTTCCTTGGCTTCAGAGATACCATGTCCTCCTAGTTCTCCTCCTGCCTCTAACCTTTCTTTCTCTGACTTCTTCATTTGTTCCCTACCCTCACCCTAATCCTTTAACATGCGTATTCCTCAATGGTCTGTCCTCGGGACTCTTCCCTTTCTCTCTTTTGGCAGATCCTTTCAGTTCCTTAGCTTCAACTTCTGCCTCTGTGCAGATGAGTCCTAAACATCATCATCATCATCATCATGAGAACTAGCATTTATATTGTGCTTCCTACATATCAAGCACTGTGCTCAGCATTTTCACAATTATCTCATTTGATCCTCACAACATCCTTGAGAGGAAGGTGCCATTCTGGTCTTAATTTTACAATCAAGGAAACTGAGGCAAACACGTTAAGTGACTTTCCCAAGATTACATAGGTAGCTTCTGGGGTCAGCTTTTAATTCAAGTCTTGAGGCCCACTGCTCTATCCACTGAGTCAGAAGCTGTTCTAAACCCTTCTTCTTAGATAAAGACTCATATCTGTCTACAGGACCTCTCTACTTGGATGTTTCACCTGTACCTCAGACTCAACTTGTCCAAAAATGAGCTTGTCATCTTTCCTACAAACCTGTTCCTCCTTCTTACATCATTATATAGGTCAGCAGTACCATCATCTACTCCATTTTATAACCTCGAGGTTATCCTCGACTCTTTCTGCTCCTTCATCTCTCAACTCTATCTGTAATTGCCTCACCAAAGGAAAAAAAAAAAGACTACAAATTGCAAAGAATGTGCCAACTTGAATTGATGAAGGGAGCTTCATAATTTGGAAGTTCTCTGCACTAACAAAATCACAGATCCAGTTCATATCCCTATCCTTATGATGTCAATCTCACTGCTGAAACATGTCTCAAACCTGTTTCCTCTTCTCTCTTGCCACTATTACCTCCCTAAAAAGAAGGGAAAGAAGTATTTATTATGTGACTCATATGTGTCAGACACTAGGCTAAGTGCTTTACAAATATCTCATTTGATCCTCACAACAACCCTGGGAGGTAGGCATTATTATCATTCCCATTTTACAGTTAAGGAAACTGAGACAGGCAATGGCTAAGTGCCTTGCCCAGGGTCGCAAAGCTAGTATATGTCTGAAGTCAAATTTGAACTGAGGTATTCCTGAATCCAGGCCCAGCACTCTATCCACCAGACAGAGTTGCCCTGCAAAAATTTTGGTTAATACACTATGACAATAGACTTTTAACAGTTCTTACGCTCTCTACTCTCACTCTTTCCAATCCATCCTTCCTTCAGATCAATATTTCTTCTAGTTTACTTGTGAACATTATTGTATCACTCCTTTGCTGCCATTTTCCTACTTTAGGCCAATAGATTAGGAGCTCTTCAAGTACATTATAAATGCATTGAGGCCCAGTACACTTAGACAAAGGTGTAGCAGGAAGCAAATTCATATTGGATCCAGTTGTCTGGCACTTAACTTTTCAGAGGATAAGTTTCCTCATCTACAAAATGGAAATAATAACATTCCCACTACTTAAACTGTTGTGAGGATCAAATGAAATAGTATATATAAATGACTTGTAAGCTATAAATAGCAACATAAATGTAAGTTATTATCAATAGCCTGCTGGTTGGTCTACCTGCCTCGGTCACCCCCTATTCAACTCTATCATCCATGTACTTGCCCAAGTGAATTTCCTACAGCCCAGATCTGACCATGTCACCTCCTTATTTGACAAACTCCAGTGGCATCCTTCACAACCTGGCCAGGCTTCTTATATTTTACTCCCATCTATATTCTCTAAGATCCAGTCACACTGGCCTCCTTGCTAATCCTCAACAAGACACTCATCTCCTTTTCTCTGTCTTTCCCATACCTTCCCCTCTTCCCCAAACTGAGCATAGATTGCTCTCCTTGTTCATTTCCATTTCCCAGCTACTCTGGCTTCCTTAAAGACTCAGTTTTCAAATCCAACACCTTCAAGAGCCCTTTCCAAATTCCCCACTCCATCCAGGGTTATTGCCTTCCCTCTGAGATTGGTTTCCATTTATACTAAAAATATCTTGTATGTAGACTTATTTTGGATATTGTGCCCCTTCCCATTAAAATGTGAGCTCCTTCTTTATATCCTCAGAGCATAACACTGTACCTTCTCTTTAATTCTAGTGCCCTACTTCTACTGATTATTTCAAATTTATCGTGCGTAGAGCTTGATTGTACATAGTTCAGTTCTCCCCCATTCTACTTTAAGTTCCCTGAGAAAAAGGATGGCCCTTTACCTTTCTTTGCATCCCCAGTGTTTGAAACAATGCCTTGCATATAGTAAGAGATTAAGAAATTCTTGTCAACTTACTGCCACATACTTAAAAAATACTTATTGACTATTATTAAATTCTTCTTCCCCACTGCCTCATTGAACAAAATAGGTGCTACATAAATATCTTTTCTCAATTAAAAACACCTAAACAGTCCTGAATTCTGAGTGATTATTTAGTTATTATAGGTATACATTTTATATGTATACCTATACATATATAGCTATATGTATATATAACTAGTCTATTCTATATAACTTTATAGACCCATAACAGCTCTTCTATTCATTATATCTATTCTGTTCTATATAGACAATAGGTGATAAAATGCATTTCTTTCCTCTTTGTAGAGGGGAGGCATGGCAGATGTAGAATGTTGCATAAACTATTAGACGAGGTCTTTGTGTTGATTGGTTTTGTTTATCAGTTTTTCTTTAGGGGAGGTGCTTATTGTGAATTGTGAGGGAGAAAAATCTCAGAAATGACAATTATATAAGAAGAAAAAGTATCAATAAAATTTTTAAAGGATTTCAATTCTAATGCAATACTTTGAATAATAAAGATTAAAGCATTTTTAAAAAACCTTCTGATTTGTTCTACATAAATTAATATAATTCAATTCATTAGGGTCACATAGGGTTAAAGATGCTATGAGTACTGTTCTGCTTAAAGTATCACTTTAGTTTTACAGAATCCTATTAAGCTCAATTTGCCTAAGTTTCCTCATCTATAAAAACAGAAATAATAATAGCACCTACCTCCCAAGCTTGCTGTGAGGATAAAATGAGATGCTTTTTGGAAAAAAGCTTGGCAAACCTTAAAGCACTATGTAAATGTTAGCTATTATTGTTGTTAAAATTAAGAAGAATCAAGGTCACTTACCTGAATGACTAAAAATATACTGAGAAGGGATAGTTAGGTGGTACAGTGGATAAAACACTGGCCCTGGAGTCAGGAGGACTTGAATTCAAATGCGACCTCTGACACTTGAAACGTACTAGCTGTATGACCCTGGGCAAGTCACTTAACCCCAATTGCCTAGCAAAAAATATATACTGAGAAAGAGAATAACTGAATACTATATGCATCCAAAGTTAAACTTTCATCTCCAGGCTACAGAAAAGGCCCAGTCAAATGCCTCTTCATGACATGGAAGTGGCCCTGAGTTTTTGAAAGATGGAATAATGGAAAACGACGAGCAATGGGACACAAGCCCTGGCATGATCTGGCAAGCTAGAAAAATATTTACAATAGTAATGGAAACAGAATGTGTTTGTCTGAATATAGATGGTTCATCACCAATAAGCTGGTAACTGGACATGGTAACTCATAAACAAAGAAGAATACAAAATGGCTATTCATCCTTGACCGACCCCTTCCCCTTGTCTATTGATGGTGATACAAGGGCAAAAAAGAAGGCAGAGGGTGAAAATAATCACAGCTTTTAGATGATCCACAAACAGTTTAAGTCTAAATTGTTAGACGCCTATGGAAGAAACTTTGTCAATGAGCAGTAAGTTGACTAGAGGAACTGACGTCACTATGAATTAAAGTAGAAAATATAAAGATGTCATAGCTAAATGGAATGACTACTCACAGATTCTCCAGAAGCTACTTAGCAAACAGTGATCTCTTTGCTGAAAAGAAAGACTTGGTAACCAAGAGTAAAAACATTTTGTTCATTTGCAATATACAATAGAACCAAATAGGATAAAATTTAGAGCACAGTGAAAAGCAGTGGAAAGGAAAACAAATTTGGAGGGAGGATGATAACTGGATGTCACATGGTACAGATTCAACAATATTTCTATAATATTGTATTTCATAATCAATGATGGTAGAACCACCACATTTGGGCTCTAACATCTAGGGACCCAATGTGACATATGAGAAATAGCACTTAAGAAAACGAAGTCATAGAGAGTGTCTGAAGCAGACAAAACATATACAGAGGAAATTTATGCTGAACATAAACGCAATTTTGAAAGCAGTGAGAGACTGATTTTCAGTATATCTCATATAGGAGAGAATGCAAAAAAAAAAAAAATTATAAATAGTATTGTTACCAACCCCTACTCCTCCAGTCCCTGCCAAAGGCAACCAAGACGGTATTAGCAACAGCTGGCCTGTATGTTTACTTTCTCGTTTCTATAAAATCTTTATGAAAATATGCTATACTACTTGATGGCATCCTAGTTGGAAATATGAAATGGGAACAGGCAGACTTTCACAGATGATTTTCTCCACAGATCACACCTTCAGAGTTTCATAATAGATGGAAAAGTAAAAAAAGTTACATGGTCTTGCTCTGTTTATTTATTACCAAAAAAAAAAATTGTTCTACCCACACTTGGTAATGAAAAATACAACCTTAAAGGCTCTCTTCTAAAAAAGTATCTCACATTCGAAAGTTAAGATAAAATAAAATTCCTTGAAGTATGGATGCAACAAGATCCATGGCTATTCCAAAAATATCAGTTATTGATTTTTACACAAGAAAAAACAAGTGGAAAAAACTACGTATTACTCAGATTATGACATGGAGTTAAATTTAAAGCCTAGTGTGAATGGACAGTGAGCTGGGTCTAGAACTGAAGAGGAGAAAGACAGCAGATTGGCTTGGATTTGTGAGAGTGTGCAGTACTTTCAATTATCCTAAGCTTCTCCCTGACACGAAAATTAATATTTTAGCACCACATGAAGGGCCATGGTCTCCAATGACCTAAACTTCAATAAAGAGATGAAAAATGTATGTGTGTGTGGGCTACAATATATTACCAGTGATGACTTATGGACAAGCTTTTGCTAAAGATATATCATCCAGAAGATATGTTCAACTGGAAAAAGAGGATGATATCAGGTATCAAAAGGAAGAAAAAACATATGGACAGCCCAAGAGTTGCACTTGCATCTTTACAATATTAGGAGATCTAGAGGAAGGTATCTAGTCTACAGAGGATAACTTCTTCGTGTAGAACTAACGAGAGGCCACAGGCAACAATCCCACAGAATGGGAAGGAGGAGATAAATTAGTACTCACAAAAGTGAACTCATGGGATGCAAACTATGTTTTAATCAAAAATGGTATAAAAGTACCATCCATGGATTGATCAAATCTCAACATAAATTCCCCAGCAAAATAAACTTTTTATTCGTTTGCTTTCTGACTGTTAATTTCTCTAATTTCCACCATTATGAGATATTTGTAAATCAGTTTGAAAACCTAAATGTAACATATAAATGCTAACTACTACAATTATTGTTGCCCAAGGTCACACAAGCAGTAAATGGTAGAGTCAGGATTTAACTCATATCCTTGAATTCCTGTGAGTTCAGTGTTCTTTCCACTGTACTATACTGATTTCTTAGGTCCAAAGGAAGGAGAAGAAAATTATTATAAACTGCTCCAATTTTGGAAAGTTCCATCAATAATAATAACAGATGGAGTTCCAATAGGCTCTTCTGGTAATTGTTTTGAAAGAGTAATAAAAGAAAATGTTTTGTTAATTTTAAATAGAAATATATTAGCTGTGCTTCTGGTTATTTGTATCAAATATACCTGACTAGTCATATCAGTCTTTCACTTAACTGACTCTGGAGAGGGGCCATGTACCTACAGGTCATAGGATTTAGAGATCTTAGGACTAGAAGGGACTTTGGCGATCATAACTTGCTTTTATGAAATTGAATAATAGAGATAGATCTATGTTTTCTGAATCTGCCTCCATTTGTCTCCCCAGCCCACCTCCATTCTGAGGCGGAAAAGATAAAAGTATTTCTGTCTTCAACTAAAGGGGGTCTGAACTCAACAGCTCCTGTCACTTACAGCCTGGAGTTCGAATGAGGCCAGAGTCTGGGATAGAGGGTGAAAGGACAGGAATTCTATCCAAAATGATATACGTACCCAGACTGTCTTCAAGGACATAAGGAATGATGTGAGGCCATCTATATTCATCACCAACAATGGAATTTCTTTCTCTCTGAAAAGTAAAATAAACACAGAATCTATTTATCCTGAGATTAGGCAGCAACCTGGGGAAGGATAGGCATTTGTTTCAGGAAAAAAAAGCAGTTTAGGAATCTCCCAAACACCAAAAGAAACAAATCATCTGTGCCTGTATGAACATTGTTTTCCAGCAATTGAGTAAGAGGTCAGTCAGGAGGAGAAAAATGCATTGGTAGCACTGATTTTGGGTAGGTCAGTTTAGAAAAGAGATATGCAAAGCTTGTCTAGCAATGATTATAGGAGAAATCCAATCACCACTGGCAGAAAAGCTGTAATGAAGTTTCTTGCTCCAGTATAGCTAAATAATTGTATTCAAATAGCAAAAGAACATTCAAGCTACCCTATTTCAGACTTCATGATACTTCAGACATGAAAATGAAGTGTGTTAAATAAATAAATATTTAAAAGAGAAAGAGTGCTATGTGTTTACAGTGGTTAAGTAAATAAAGTGTTTTCAAGCGCTCTTAAAACCCTGCTATGATTGTTCCTGTTTTCTTTAAACAATATGCCAATTACTGATTGGCTGACTATTATACTATTTTTCATACTATTCATTCTATAGATCTGGTAGAATCTCTATGAAGTAACATTTTATTAGCTTAGTTTTTGCTGTTGTAGAATGTAAAATCCTTGATAGAGACATTTTCATTTTTGTTTTTGTATCCTTTCTTAGCACAATGAGTCACATATATGGAGACTTACTAAATGATTATTGACTGACAGATATTATTAAAATTAACAAATTATGCCGTTTCAAAGTATTTTCATATTTACACTTTAAATAAAAAAACTAATTTGAACTGACCTTCCTTTAATTCATCTGAATTGGTAAGGTTTTATTGTATAATTAAAACCTTCCAGGTTGACAATCTGATATAAATATATCAAGCTTATGTATAATTAAAATGACCAAGAAGCTTGTCCTGGAAAAGAGTTGAGAAAATGTACCTCTCTCTCCCTTTCTTGCACAGATAGGGTACTATCTATATGCTATCAAACTCAATTGACGCTGATTAGTTTAGCTTTGTTTTTTCCTCCCTCTTTTTTATTCTTTGCTACAAGAGATGGCTCAATGGTCAGGGGAGGAGGAAAGGCATATATTTGAAAATGAAAGCAATGTAAAAATACAAGTTATCAACAAAAAAAATTTAAGCCCATCAAGTCTAGATCAATACAGTCCAACTACATATGGCTAATGATGATGGTCCTGGAAATAATTTACAGCAAATCACAGTAAGGGAAAGATAATGGCATTAATATGAATCCAGTTATTTTTCCCAGAACAATTTGTTTATGAAGTCTTGTGCAAATGCACTACTTAATGATTCCCTTTGATTCTGTGCCACCTCCAATGATAAGGGTTAACATACCCTCGCACTGGTAGATTAGCTTCAGAGAGTGGTATTTTAGCTTGCATTGGCCAATAGAATCATTGATAGAACTGTATCGTGCCAACTCACCCCGTCAAGATTGATGTCTCCCTCAAAAAGGTTCAGTCCCAAAGCTGAGTGGCAAGACAACACCTGACATTAGCAAATGGGCAGAACCCTACACAAGCATGTGGGATTTTCAAGGGAAAGAAGTCCACAAACCTTCATTGATGTCAAATATGTCTTTGTCCTTGCCGCCATCTACATCTATTACTAAAAAGACCAAAAAGCAGAAGAACAAAGGTTAACCTTGGCTTATATGTTTAGGTCACCTCAACACAAAACTATAGCTCATCCTATTGGGTCACATCATGGACTCTGTTTTCCCGTTTCACTTGAGCATCGACTGACTTTAAGAATAAATCAATACAGTTAATAACAAATGGATCCCTCTGGGCAAGATGGAAGCCAGATTTGGAGGAGATTCCATTGACACAGACAGGCTGCATTGAATTGGAACCAAGTTGGAACCAAGTGCTGCAGGCTGATGCAGTCAGCCTTGACTTGTCCATATGTGAACACTTCAATACAGACTGGAGCTTTTAGTAAATGGTACAGACCAAAGCTTCCAGGATAAGCCTGAATTGCCTTCTAAATTCCTAGTGGGGAAAAAGCACAATTTTTCTGAGGGGTCTATATGAGTACAGCTGAATAAGAGTGGAATGTAATATTAGGTCTATCTCATCTGACAAAGCCCATCTTTCCAGCTCCGTGTGTGTGTGTGTATGTGTGAAGGTTTAAGTGATATAACAGTCCATCAAACTCACATACTATTTAGAAGATACAAGAAAGAGTATTATCATGATATACAAGACTTGTCACTAATTTCAAGGGAACAGCATGGTATAGTAGATGGAGCACTGGGCTTGGAACCAGACAGTCCTGTATTTAAATCTAACCTCAGACACTAGCTGTGTGACCCTAGACAGGTTCTTTAACCTAAGCCTCAGTTTCCTCATCTGTAAAATAGGGATAATAATAGCATTTACCTAACAAGTAAAGCAGCTATGTGGCACAGTGCTGAGCCTAGAGTCAGGATGATTCATCTTTCTGTGTTCAAATCTGACCTCAGAAACTTACTAGGCATGATCCTGGGGCAAATTACTTAACCCTGTTTGCCTCTGTTCCTCATCTGTACAATGAGCTGGAGAAGGAAATGGCAAACCACTCCAGTATCTTTGCCAAGAAAACCCCTAATGGGGTTATAAAAAGTCAGACGTGACTGAAACAACTGAACAACAACAAAACAAGTAAGATTTAATAATAGCATCTAATTTATAGGTAGCTGTTAGGTAGACGTGATTATTACTAAATTAGATAATATTTATAAAGTGTTTAACATAGTGCCTAGCACATAGTAGACACTATATAAATGTTTAATCTCTCCTCCTTCCCCCTACCTTACAACAAGATTTTAACAGGTGAGATAACATACATGACGTGCTTCACAAATCTTAAAATGCCATAACAGTACAATTTATTAATTATTATTATTATTATTGCTACAGCTCAGTGTTTTGATTCAAGCACCATCCAACCACAATAATGTGTTCACAATTTATTATTACTTACTGCTGAAGTCCTGGTACATAGAATGAGGTCATTTAGCTTTGGGGTACAATACTTAAATATTCAAGAGGAATGGTGATGAATATCATGTATGGATTATTTTCTTTTCATCTAACATAAATAAGACTAGAACTCCCTCAACTCAACTCATACTCTAGATGTGACCCTGGGTTTTCAATGCTTCTTTGTGATGGGCTTAGCAGTTGATGGGCTAGCTCAGTTTAGAGGGGCTTCTCAACAGAGGGCTGTCCATCAGGTGATGAATTATGGGGGCCATAGGTAACACAAAAGCCATCCACTAAGATGTAGAGGGGTTTTAATATGTACCAGTGGAGGAAAAACAATAATAATTGCTAGTGTTTATGTAGCACATTAAGTATTGCAAAGTGCTTCACATAGTTTTATCTCACTTGAGCCTCATTGAAACTCTGGGAGGTAGGTGCAAATACGTCCATTTTACAGATGAGGAAATTGAGGCAAAAAAGTTTAAATGAGTTGCCCAGGGTCACACAAGTAGAAAGTATCTGATACAGGATTTGGACTCAAGCCTTCCTGACTCCAAATCCAGTACTTCACCAATTGTACCACCTAGTAACCATACCCATACGTGAAATCATGTGTCACTGGAAGTGCTGAAGAAGACCAGAAGTCAACAGATGACTCACCAAAGGTTTCTAAGGTTGGCTGAGGAACAAAAAAGAGAAGGGAACATATTATCATGATATACAAGATTTATCGGTGCTTTTCTTGGTCTTACCATTAGCATACTTGTTACCTCACTAGTATTGATTCTTTGCCCTTTGATAACTAACCTTTATGAAATTTAAGAATCTAAACTGAGTTTTAACTTGAATGCTTGTCTTTTAAAAACTTTTCTTAAACCATGAGGCACACTAATGTACCACTGGAGCCATCACTTGATCCAGCCATTCAGGAAAGTAATTGGGAATAATGTGAAGAAAGTCATGAAAATGTCCATACACTTTGACCCTGCTAGGAATATCACTGCTAGGAATACAACCCAAGGAGATGAATGAAAAAAGAAAGCCCCTCCCCTCATATATACATCAAAATATTCATTGCAACACTTTTTTTAATGCCAAAGAACAACAACATCAAAAACCACATATTGGAAAATGGTTAACCAAATCATAGTATAGGAATGCAATGGAATATTATTACTATGCTCTAAAATAATTTTTAATATGTTGACTACAGAGATATATAGGAAAACTTCTATAAACTGAGACAAATTAAAGTAAGCAGAACCAGGAAAACAATATTCATAATGATTGTAATAATGTCCATATAAAACCATAAGAGCAAAAGTATTTGAAACTGAGTGCTATGAAATTGTAATGATCAACTTTGCCCTCCCAGAAGTGATATAAGAACATACTCCCCCTCTTTTTTTGCAGAGGTGGGGGACTATAGGTGTGGAAAACTTCATATCACACAGTTTGTTGATGTGTTGTTTGGTATCGCTAAATTTTTTTTTTTTCTTTTCTCATCTTTATTCTTTGTTATAGATGATGTCTCTTGTGGAGGGGGTGGATACACTGAGAAATTCAAGGTATATAAAGATATAGCAACAAAATATTTTAGTTAGGGAGGTAAAGAAATCAAAATTGACTTTGTAAATTAAAAAGAATCCCATTAGGTAAGCATGAGTGAACAACAAAGGGGTGATGGCTCCATTTTCATCTGCTCTTGGACACCATTTGAAGTTCAGTTTGAGACACACATTTTAGAAAGAACACTGACAGCATGGAGAGATTCTAGAGAATAGTGAACGGAATAGTGAAAGGCCTGGAGATGATTTTGTTCAAGGATAGATTGAAAGAAATGGAAAAGCTTAATCTGAGGGATATTTGAGGGAACATGAAAGAAAGCTTTCCCTGAAGTATTTGAAGGGTTACAGTATAGAATCCAAATGCTTGGCCCTAGAAGCAGAAATATGAGCGTTAGGGGAAAACTGCAAAGAGGCATCTTTCAGTTCGATATAAGCACAGACTTCTAAAAATCAGAACTGTCCAAAAGCAAAATAAAATATTTGAAGAAGTGGTAAATTCATACTAAGAGGTCTTTTTAATAGGTTCATATAAGGTTAAATAATCCAACAGGTTCATTTCCCAAACTGAAATATAATGGTGAAAGAACACTAAACGTGAAGTCAGCAGACTTGGTACTCAGCTACTTACTACTTGTGAAACCTTGGGGATAAGTCACTTACCTTCTCTGAAGCTCAGTTTCCTGATCGGTGAAACTGGAATAATAATACTAGATCTACCTATTGCCATAGTATCTTTACAGGGCTCAAACAAAATCAAATATGTGAAAGACTTTTGTAATCAGCAAGGTACTATATGCACATAAGAAAGAAAGAAATTAATTCTTTTTTTAAATATGCTATGCATAAAAGTAATGAATGCCTCAAAACTCCACATGTTTTACAGTCATGTTTTCCTCAGGTCTTTTGTTTCTTTAGACAAACAACTCAATTATTTTAATCAATTAGTATGCATCAGAACAAAATGAAATTTCTGAAAACAGGTTCAAAATGCTAAGTGAAGACCAGACTCATTTCACAGCAGACAAAAATCACATGAACAGGGAAGATACTTTGAACATTATTTCACCCATCAATCAAGTTTTTAAAGACAAGGCTATGTTGGGGATTGGGCTGCCTTCCTAGAGCAGAGCAGACAAATGTCCCTGATGCCAGATTATGGGACAGAGGAATACAGGAGGGAAGGAGTAGGGCTTACTTTAATAATACCTTGCATAAATTTTCCATTTTCCTGCTTGAGAACATGCATCCTCCCAATAGAACATAAACTCCCTGAGAGAAGGAACCATTTGGCTTTTTTCTTTGTGCCTCCAATGGCTAATGCAGTGTATTATACATAGCAGAAGTTTAATAAACATTTGGTGAATTGCATTGATTTTATAGGCACAGAATTTTTCAAGGGTGGGACAGTAATGATAGCTCTTTTATTCCCACCTAGTCTATCCTACTTGTCTTTCTACTTTTCACTCCTTCACACTGCATTCTTTCCTCACACTCCACTTTTCCTCTTCCACTTTCTTTCAGCTTCAAATTTCCTCCCTCTCCTTTCCCTGAGCCTAGCATCATTCAAAGGAAATTTTCTTGCTAGTGCCTTATGGCTCACTCTCCAGGTGATCCAAAACAGCAGAAAGAGCAGTGACTTCAACTGATTGCTGTGCTGCATAAAAGGGAAACAATTCTTGAATTAGTTGAAGTGGCAGCAGTTGGATTAGCCTTGAGGGAAGACAAAAGCAGTGCCACCGTAAGCATTAGTGATGAAAGTAGCCTGAATCCATTGATGAGGGAGAAACAAGGGGTAGGAAAACAATGAAGATTTGAGTGGAACCAAGGGTGACTGCTGTTCATATCTCCCATTCGATTTCAGTTGTCAAGAAGGATATATCACCCAGATACTTGTCTAGAAATTTTAATTAACCTAACCTTGACAATAGCTACAAATCAAAACCAAATCCATCAGGTCCTACTGTTTGAATTTTTTTAGAATACTGTGTCACAATTAGCTTGACCATGTATCAATCCAAGTCAGTGTTGAGATGTCACAAAACAGCAAATTGCTTATGCCTCAGTCTATTTCTTTGGTTCATATGACCATGATTGTGCCGGCCGCACCGTGCACTCTCCTCCTATAAGGAGCAGGCTGCCAGAGTCATACTTACCAGTCTTCGGGGCCTACCCGGATAAACACACAGAGATGAGCCGACCAGGAGGTGCCAACACCCGAGCTTTATTCAGAGGCCATCACAGCAAGGCGAAGCAGGAAGGCCATAGCAAGAGAGCAGGAGCAAAGAGAGCCCGCGAGCTCCGACCATGATTGTTCCTTAAGTACCTACTTAGCCCTTCCTCCTCAGCCCACCTACTAGTCAATGATTGTAGGGTCAGATACCGGAAGGGGATGTCTGAATTTAGCGCACCAAGGGAGAGGAAGTGACGCAGGAGGCTAGGACCGGATACAGGAAGGAGGCGTCTGGGACTAGTGCATAGACAAAGAGAGAGCACGTGACCTAGGAATTCAGGCCCAGATACCCGGAGGAGGCGTCTGGGGTCAGTGCTACACAAAGGGAAGGTACGTGACCCAGGAAGTCAGGAAGGACACAGGAAGGAGGCGTCTGGGGTTGACGTTGCACTTAGGGAGGGGATTAAGCAAAGGGAACTCGTCCTCTGCTGTCTCGCTCCTACGTGGCACAGCCCCCTGCCTCAGGAGCACGTGCTCCGGCTACTTCCTTGTATCCTGTTCCTTCCCCAGCTTATCGCAGCTCACATAGCACTGCCCACTGCCTCAGGAAGGTGAGCTCCGGTTACTTCTCCGTATCCAGCCCATCCCAGTTCACCACAACTCCGCCTGCCACAGCCCCTGCCTCGGGAGCGTGAGCTCCTGTTACTTCCTAATACCCAGTTCCTACCCCATCTTGCCACAACTCTTACTTGGCAGTAGCCAACATCAGACAGTCCCTCACACATGATATGAAATACAGAAACATAGTCAACTTGTGACTTTTTTGAGCAAAAGGAAAGAGTTGGCAGTTTCGGTTAATGCTATAAAATAACTGTCCATTGCATACAATAGGTCACCATATTTGACACCAACATGTTGTTCCATCCATTAATACACATGTATATAGAAATACACAACCACACAAATACACATATGCAATATGTTGAGTAGTGTTTTAAGTAGAGTAAAGTTAAGTTGAGTAGAGTTTTAAGGCATTCATTTCTTTTAGGTATAGTATTTCTTTTAAAAAAGAGAATAATTTCTTATGTCTGTATCGTGCTTTACCTTTATACATGTAAATACACTGGAATATCAATCCATTCCATTTTTTAAATAGCTACAGTATTTTAATTCCTGCTTGTAGTCATAAAAAGATCCATTCTTCTCAATGCTAGAGTGACAAGTTTTAGACTGCAAATTCCACTTGTCAATTTGGCTGCTATTTTAAATTTGTAACTACAGACTTCTTTCCAAGCCTTTGAAATACAGTTTAGTGCCTTAGTCTGTCCATATTCAGCTGGTACAGGGTACCTCTTTACCTGCACAAGGTTGGGCTAAAGCTAGTGAGGGAGCAGAAAAGAATTCTTACTCTGCTGGGCCCTTCACATTCTTCAGCCCATGCTGTCAGGTTGAGATTATTACTCAAGTAATTAGGAAAAAAAAAATCTGTCATCAGTCAATACCAGAATTTGAACTAAAACAAATTTCCCTTTTTTTCTACATTAACCAAAGCTAGTTTTGAAACAGTGAAGCGAAACAAAACCAACCAACCATACCCCAGTCCTCTCTCGGAGCCCTTCTTCTTCCTCAGGCCCCTGCAATCAGCCAATCTATCCCAAATTGTCCCTATCTGCCCTGATAAAGCACTCATTTCATTAACCCTGCCTGATTCACATGAAAGAAAAAAAAACCAATGATTAAGCAAGTTTCATAGTACCACTGCCCCACCTGCCCACCAGTATGTTAGTTTTGCTTTACTTTCTATATATCTTGCAGTACATGCCTTTTGATTACTTACCAGGCCAGAGACCACAAAGAGAACCTCACCTAGCAAAAGCCACGGCAAACACCGTGAATCCATGTTGCATTTCTAGCTGAAAGCTTCGAGAAATTCCAATTGGATTATAGTTATAAAGAGGCAAGCATCGTAAATCATAGCCTTTGACCTGCGTGAGGCATAGAGTAGATTAAAGTCCATCAAACTTAACACTGTTCTGACGTTGCACAATTTATCCCGTTGTCAAGAGACAAGTGTGTGGGTGGTACCAGCGGAGGAGGTTAACTATCTAATCTTTATTTCCTGGTGAATGACAGTAAATCACATATGATAATAAGTTCAATAATTAATTTTAAAGTACATATCTATTCTTTGATTCAACAAGTCATTATTATAATACGTTGATGAGTGGAGTGTCCAATAAATACTTGTTGATGATCAATTGGGTAATGTTACAGGGAAGGTGGGCCCATGAGGGACTTTTTTTGCATCTTCTTATAGAGGCTATACAGATCCACTGAGGATGAACTACTTCTCTTAGGATTTTGTGGGGTACAGCCACACACATTGATTTTCTAGACTTCATTTGCACTGGGGTCATAAAAACAGGTCAGTTGAAGAATTGCCCTTTCTTTTTCCTTTTCAGGAATATCCAGAGGGAGAGAGAAATGAAAGCAGAGACATAAGAAGACATAAAATTAGAGTAGAAGAAAGTTTAGGGACCAGTCCAAATGTCTCATTTTACAGGTTTAGAAAGTGAGGCCCAGAGAGGTTAAGTGATTTGCCCAAAGTCACACAGTAGCAGAGCTGGGGATCAACCCCTAGTCTACTGACTCCAAATTCTTTTTTTTTTTTTTGACTAGGCAATAGTGTTAAGTGACTTGCCCAGGGTCACACCGCTAGTGAGTGTTTTCGTGTCTGGGGCCGGATTTGATCTCGGGTCCTCCTGAATCCAGGGCCGGTGCTCTCTCCACTGCACCACTTAGCTACCCCCGACTCCAAATTCTGGAAGGGAATTTTGGTCTCTAGATAAATGGATCATTATGGGGAAGGAGGAGAAGAATGAGATAGAAAATAAAGGTAAGGAGTGACTGGATGATTAGAAAACTTACCTGTTGCCTCTGGATTAATCTTGTGCCACCTATTACACTATGGGAATTTTCAGAAATGAAACATGCTATCATTTGCTATCCCACAGTCTTAAGTTCTAGAGATCTATTTTGCCATTGTGTCAAATTATTGTTGCATTTTATCATTCAGTAAGCACCAACTTAATTCAAAATATCAAAGCTACAGGGTACTATGCACAGAGTAGATGCTGATATAGGGGGCTGATAGAAAACTCCATGATCAATTTGATGGTGTTATAAGCAAGAGAACTCTTATTTGAGATTTGACCTGATATACCGGTAGAGGCTGCATGGATTGATTCAGGATGAATTGGTTGGCACAAGCTGCGGTAGGCCAGAGCCATCTCTTTGCCCTGGACCTGCAGAAAGTGGGATAAGGTGCTGTAAGGCTTTCTTTCCCTTTTGGGGAAGATCCCCAGGGGAAGTGGGACTAAACCTGAGAGAAGACTTGGTCAGAAAGGGACTACAGAGCCTACTATCCAGCCTGTCCTCCTTTAATCCCAGAGATGGGAGCAATGGTCAAATGAATATTCCCATATGTTGGATGTCAAGTGTCTGCACCCAGCCATGAAGGAGTAGTACCTGAGATCTGTTGCATTTGCATAAATGCTCAACCACATGTCCCAGGATAGGGAAACCAAGTGGCCAAAAGGTTGGAGTACCTGAACGCCAACCTTTTAAGTGGGGGGTGGCGGGTTATTCCCTGGTAATATCAACTACAAGAAATATTCAAGACCCATCCTCCTGTTTAGAAGAGGAGGAGTACCTGAACAAGACTAGCCTCTTAGAGAGGAGAAGCCTGGAGTCCAAGCTTCCAGAAAGGGAAGGAGGAGCTCCTGGACAGCCCCAGCCCCCTAACCTGCAAAGCTAGGGCCATGACAGCATAAATATACAGCTACCATTTATCTCCACCACTGCCTATCCATGGCTGAATCCAGGAACTGATCCTCTGTTACACCCAACTGCTACCATCTTTTGGGCCAAAAGGCTGCCATCTCTAGAATTGAGGGAATGGGGTGAGAATTAGTCTTCATTGCCCCTGGGGAGCAAAAATAATAATAATGTTAGCTAGCATTTATACGTTGCTTTATGGTTTACAAAGCCCTTTACATATGTTAACTCATTTGATACTCACAACAACCCTGTAAGGTAGATACAGCTTTTATTCCTAATTTATAGTTGAGGAAACCAAGGCACAAAGGTGTTAAGTGACTTGCCCAGGATCACATAGCCAGCAAATGTCTGAGGCAAGAGTCAAACTCAGGTCTTAGCAACCCTACGTCCCACACTTCATCCATTGTGACTCCTAGCAGTCTCTATGCCACCATGGGAGCACATAGAGTGCCCCACAAACCAAGGCCCCACTGCCCCTCCAGATCGCTCCAAAGAGGGGAAAGAAAAGTCTGACTCTGCGGTTGGTCGTCCTCCCCCTTTATATAAGCTCTGGCTCACAAAAGTTCCCCTCTCCCTTTTTATAAGCTTAAGTTCACAAAAACTCACTCCAGCCAATTCACTATAAATACATGCACACAGCCTCCACAGGGATAATCAATCAAAATCCCAAACAGAGGCCTACCTTCTTGTGACCTCATCAAGTTGAACTGGGAGCTCCCAGATCAACCCCTTCTATAAGCACCTACTGTGTGCATAATACCATGAAGCTTTGATATTTCTAATTATGCTCATTACTTACTCACTGAGTTATAAAATTCAATAATTCACAATGAGTCTCTAGAGCTTGAGAATATGGGGTAGCAAATGGTAGCATATTTCATTTCTGAACATTCCCATTGCACTATTGCAGACACAAAGGCATTAATGCAGGGCAACTGGTGAGTTTTCTAAATAACTCACAATTCCTTACCTTTATTCTTTACTTCATCTTTTTCCTCTTCCCCTATTACTACCCATCCTTTAACTCAGGTGTTATAACTCCTTTGGCAGTCTAGTAAAGCCCCTGGACTCCTAATCAAAATAATATTTTTAATGGACAAAAGATAGATAAGATTACAGAGGAAATCAATTCTCTTGAAATTCAGTTAAGAATGCCTACTTTAACGCATCTACAATCATGTCTATTTTAATTTCACTGACCCATTTTCTGAGTTGAAGAAGAGGGTAGGGGGTAGCTAGGTGGCACAGTGGATAGAGCACCTGCCCTGGAGTCAGGAGGACCTGAGTTCAAATCCAGCCTCAGACATACTACTTCATAGCTGTGTGACTGTGGGCAAGTCACTTAACCCCAATTGCCTCATCAAAAAAAAAAAAGTGGTAAGAGGCATCAGTGAGGGTAGGAAGAAGATATCCCTGGGATACCTTGAATCACTAAAAAGAACAAATGACAAACAAATATGAGCTTTGAAATTTTTTACCTTAGATGCAGTCCAATACCCTGGACAGGGTATAGGCCAAAAATCATTCTTAAACAAATTCAAAAATAAAAATGTTGCTAAAAGACCTAAGGTGGTAGCTAACAGGAGGCTAATGAAAGGGCTGGATGAACTATGGCTAAAAATCAAATCACAATCATTTTACAATGCAATGATTGAAGGGTTTTCTCTAGGTTCATTTATTCAGAGTAGATAGGAAAGCGATTTATTACTAGTGCAAAATCTCAGTCTTCTGAAGCCATATCTATTTCATCCAAAAGCTCTCTTTACACGTATCCTGATACTTGAATGCATTTAGGGACTGCTAAAAATCTCTATCTATGGACCACAATGGGAACCATCAACTTCCACAGCATCTGTGATAAGATACCAAACAATCTTTCCTATTGTTGGCTGCCAAGTTATAAAGCCACCTCTGATCTTAATACCCAAAGCAATAAGCTTGGCCACAAGTATGGACAGAGAGACAAACTCCTTGGCAAGCCCAATGTGCCAAGTTTCAACCCTCAAAGGCCAGTCACTTTGGGAACTGCCCAGGCTGCCAAGGAAAGAACAGTTGTTCTAAGCAGGCCTACAGACTTTGGCTCAAATAAGCATTGATATTTTATGCAAAAATGATGTCTGACTTGCAAATGAGTTTCAGTCAAGCAACCCAGTAAAAAGGGATAGGGACTGGACCTAGGATTTCACTGATTTAGGAAACCCAAGGATGACCTCTATCAAGGCAGGTTGAAACCTTCTCTGGGTTTCTAGAGCCTAGAGCAGAGGTGTCAAACATGCTGCACAGGAAACAGAACCAAATGCAAAATTAACCACACCAGATTGAAATGTAACTGAATAATATTTAACAAAATAAATATATATATATATGTATATATAAAATGGAATATTGATAATGTTGATATGTTGTTTTTTAAGTTTATGTGCAGCCCAAAGGGATCTTTATGTATGATTTAGTGGCCCCAATTTCTACTTGAGTTTGACACCAGTGCCCTAGAGCATTGAGAGAGAGATTATCCCACAGTCATGTCAGTATAAAGACTTGAATCCAGGCCATTCTAGCTCTATGCACTATGTCTTTCTGCCTCTTTGACATCAGAAAGACTTCAAGAAAAGGGTCAAAGGACTTCCCAACCTTCTCTCAAGTCCTTTGCCATCTATTCTTCTTTTTCCCCCTTCACATGGAAAAAAAAAATTGATTCTTGGTGAATTTCTATATTTTGAGCTTCCCCACATAGATTCTCTTTTAGGAAGAATTCTGTTTCTTGGGGAAGCTCTGTAAATTGAAAGTGAAAGGAAACAAAATGAATCTAGGACAAAGAAAGGAACCAGGATCAGAAGCAGGCATTTCTATTGACTTCACAAGATGTTGACTCTTCTTAGACCATGAGGTCAAACCTGCTGAGAAACCCAATAGAATAAAGGAGATAGAAATTTTGGAGTCTAGCTACGAGGGATCGTTCTAGGCCAAGAGAAGAGGGGTATACCAAATGGGGCAGGTTTCTCAGCTATGGGCTTAAATTAATTTAACCAGTCCCTTCCCCAGACCAGTATCAGCCGAAAG